TATCAAGTGGAAATTTATGACAGTATGCCATATACTCTAGACGCGGTGATGTTGATTTTAAACGTGGAGGGGGAAAAACCGAGAACCCGGAGAAAAATCCACGCGACCACGGGGAGAGAGACACGCAAACTCACCTTGAATCTCACTCGCCCACTTATTTCCTCGCTCACTCATTCACTCGCCCACCCACTCATTCACTCACCGTGTATATTGCTCACGCACTCACCCACTCATTTCCCCGCTCACTTATTGACTCACCTACCTGCGGAGAGAGACACGTAAACTCCAAATATACAGCAGCAGCAGCAGGCGTCAGGGTCGGTATCGAACCCGTGACCTCCTGCGTACCAGGCGAGGCAGGTCACATCTCGCCACCGTGGCACCGCCAGCTGTCGATGGGCAAGGACGGGTTTCGACATTCGGTGTCTCATCAGCAGATTGCGCGTGACTCGAGTTCATGAAAAGTTGCTGGCAGGAAGGCCCCGAGCAAGGACCCCTCCCCCCCGCCCCGAGGAAGAACCCAGAGGTCTGATAAGTTCGGACCGGATGTTTTCCATTTCCGCTCATTCATTATCAGAACAAAGGGGGACATCACGTGGTGCGTAAACACCGGGGTGGGGTGGGGGTTTGAGGGGACATGAGGTCAGCACAAACCCCCCCCCCACCCACCCCCTCACCCCCCGCTACCCCCCACGATCATAAAGTCCGTAACAAAAACCTCAACACGTTTGCCGCGTCAATAACACGACTGCGCTCGCGCGTGCGTGTGTGTGGCCGTGTGTGGCCGTGTGGCCTTAAAAGCAAATGTTTATCGTAGACGACGTTTCGAGCTATGGCCCCTCTTCGCAGCGCGTACACGGAGAAACCAGTAGGGAGACAGAGTGGGTGGACATTACGGGGTGGAGACTGCACCGCGCACAACTTTTACAATGAGATTCATATTCGGCACCTCCACCCGCCACATCCACTCCATCTCTCTCCTGGCCTCTCCCTATCCACGTGATATGAATAAGGACCCCCCCCCCTCCTCCCCCCACACACACACACACACGGAACGTCTTGTAATGTTCGTTGGTTGTGCACCACGGTGCCTAGGAGATGTTAACTACCTCGCCTGGTATACACGAGGTCGTGGGTTCGATCACTGACGATGCCAGCTGCTGTATATGTTGGAGTTTGCGTGTCTCTCTCTCTTTCTCTCTGAGACCGCGTGGATTTTTCTACGATTCCTCTGGTGTTTTCCCTCCACGATGTAGAATCAACATCACGCGTTTAGAGTACCCACGTGACAAGCCACTTCGTTGAGCTATCATTTGTGATTGCCAGGCCGCTTCTGATAAAGAGCTTTGTGGCTCAGTGGGGTCTTACCTGGTGAAATAAAAAAAAAACATGTTTAGTTCGTAGTGTAGTTTATGCACCGCTGCCCATGCAAGCAGCAATCACGAGATGTAATTTGTGTAATGAAATAAATAAATGTTCCATTTAAAAAAAAAGGTGTTATTCTGTTCCAGAACGATGCCGTGTTATGATCTTCACATCCATCGGCCTCATCGGCTTTTGAATCAAATATAATGATAGCGTGCATTGTATATTCGGCCAGTCCTCGTTCAACGCGTGTTCACACAACGCGGGACAAGCCCATTATAGCGCGATACACGCGCGTTATAACGCGGTTTCTGAGAATACATATAGACCTGTACATATATAGATTTATATACACGCATGTATTTACGTGTATACATTGTCTATGTATACACATACACACACACGTAACTATAAATATATTCAAACATAAAAACAAAGGTCCTCCGATTAGCCTTAATCGACTGCAGGGGGCAAACGCTGTACGGGAGTAGCACCTAATGAAGGCCGGCACACAGAGGGGGAGTCCCGGTTCGGATTATTCGTCACAGCTCTTGCTAGTTTGAGGACGTAGAGCAGGGGGATAACTACTCCACCGTAAAGGCGACAGGCAGCGTTCGCCACTGAGCTGCGATGACGGCACCACGGCGCTTCTTGTGCCAGGCTAGGTGCACTGTGAGGCCGTCACGCGGAGTGTGGAAGGCTCGTCATGGGGCAGCAGGTCAGGTCAAAGGCCCAGGTGCCATGGGATGACTGGCTGAGATGATTAGCCGATGCACCACCTGTGCCCCCTATTGCGCCAACTCGCTGTGTTTTAATTCGCCCGGTGCTCCGCTCGTTGTTGTTGGCATCACTCCTCTGCTCTCCGTTGTTGTGAGGGCGACTGCCTTCAAATCCCACACTCTTACACACTCACTCTTACATAACAACAACCGCCATTCGCCACGAAAGTGACGGTGACGTCACCACGGCGCTTGTGCCAGGATATGTGCATGTTGAGGCCACGTGAAGTGTCGAGCGCCCGCTGGCAGGAGGTGACAGGGCAGACCCAGGTGCTACGGGTCGACTGACTGAGATGAGTGGCCGATGCACCACCTGTGCCCCCTACTGTGCCAACTTGCTGTGCTTTAGCTGTTCGGCGCTCCGCTCGTTGTTGTGAGCTTCACTCCTCTGTCCTCCTTTGTTGTTGGAGGACGACTGCCTCCAACTGCCCAGTAGCGTCCTTCACGAGCCTCCTCCACAGCGGCCGATTTTGACACCGCTGGTACCAGTCATTAGCAAGTCCATTCAGCTCCACATCCTCTTGTACCACATAAATTAATTTCATTTCTAGCCTGTGCCGCGCCCGTTTAGCCACCTCGATCTGGCCGAACAAAAGCTGTTTAGGCATGCGGTGGCATGGGCATGCCAGCTACATGACCCAGCCAACGAAGCCTTGCCTGCCGGAGGAGCTCACCGATGGGACTTTGTCCAGATTTTTCAAGCATTTGTGAGCTCCTCACACAATACAGCCTGGTTAAACCCAGGATCGATCGTAGGCAGGGCAACCTAAATGTAAAGAAGGGAGGGAATGACTGTGGCCGAGAAGACCTGAAATTTCGTGCGGAGTGACAGATCTGGTAGCTTCCACACAGCGTTACGCAACCGATGAAAATATATTGCTGCTCGACTGATTCGGAGTGAGACCTCTGCTGTCAAACCGGAGCCGGTCATGAGCACACTACCCAGATATGGGACACTCTCAATTCTCTCCAACTGCCCCATCACCAAATGAGAGTTGTGAGGGGTGGAGTGTCTGATGGTACAAATACCCAGTGCTTAGTTTTGGTGGGGCTGATGGTAAGGCCCCACCTCTTAGTGGCAAGCTCCAGGTTCAGCAGCAGCGCCTCCAACTCCTCCTCTGAGTGAACAGCAATTACCAGATCATCGGCATACATAACGTGGTTGACCAACAGGGAGCCATCCCAATAGGGACGCATCCCTTGACCGCATCGGTCAGCCTCCCATTGTAAAAATAGATGTTAAATAATGTGGGAGCCAGAGGACATCCCTGTAATACCCCAAGGTGAACAGGGAATGGCTCCGACTCCCGGTCACGTCGTTTTACCCGGGCCCACTCACCATCATGAAGGTCCTAAATGATCATGAGCAAAGAGTCAGGGACTCCAAAAGCATGAAAAACAACCCAGAGCCCAGGCCTGCTGATGGTATCATAGGCCTTGTCCAGGTCAATAAAGCAGAGATGTCGGTCATGTTGGATATTCCTATACCTCTGCTGTCGCAGACAAACAAAATATGGCATCTGTGCAGGACTGCCCTTTCCTAAAACCACAATGAGGCTCCACAAGCCTCTCCTCAGTGTGCCTGGCAAGGCGATGTTGAATAATCCTTGCCAGGACACTTCCCGGCATACTGAGGAGTCTGTGCGGTCCCCCTTCTTAAAGAGGGAGACCACCAGGGCATCCTTCCAATCCTGCGGAACCCGTCCAGTGGTCCAGACTGTTGCTATGATGTCATATAGGGTAGTCTGTGCACAAACGCCACCCTCCCTCAGCAGTTTGCTTGGGAGATCATCTCTGCCCAGTGCCTTTCCTGGTCTGGATCGCCTTAAGTACTTCCTCAACAGATGGCACCTCAGCCAGCCACTCACTGAGGGTGACTTCTTCAATATTTGAGGCACCGCAGCCTCAGCAGGGTCATCCTCACTTTGTGCCATGATGTTTTCCAGGCTGAGGGATTTCTCCTCCCCCAGGACCTCACAAAAATGCTCGGCAAATCTGCAAACCTGTTCCTGGGGGTCGGAGATTGGATCACCGTTCTTTCCCCCAATGATGGTAATAGTTGTGGCATTGCAAGTTACTTTTTTACGGAATTTAAAGAGCGATTTGTGATCGCGGGCCACTGAGGAAGATTCCATCTCCTCAGCAACCCGCGACCACCATCCTTGCAGTGCCTCACGGCTCTCCAAACCTCCGAGCGAAGGCTGCGGTAAGCCTCCTCATTCTCTGCCGTGGGATGCTGTAGACGATGAGATTGGGCCTGTCGCTTTTTCTCATCGGCCTTGCCTGCATCCCTCCACTGATGTTCGTCTTCAGTGGGGGCACAAGTAACCACGACCATCACTCCTCACCTCTGGTTGATGGGACGGCGAGCCCCACAGAAGCCTGTGGCTTCCAGCTTCCCACACCTCACCGCCACGCTCCCACGCCCCCTTAATCATTTTTTTCAGAAGAAAGGCCACTCCCTGTTGTTCGGCAGCACCACGCCTGGCCGCCTTTGTCTCCCCAGTTGAGTTGTTTACACAGCGCCCCAGGTACTCTCTTGAGGCCGAGGCGACCTAGTGGAGGCGCAGAACACTCACTCTTGATCAGAGTCTGCACAGCAGCAACTCTGGCGATTATTTCGTGTTTGTCTTGCAATAAAGTTGAGTAACAACATGTTCCGAACGCAACACCCCACCCCCCTCCCCCACCGCTCTACCCCCCCCCCCCCCCGACCACCACCCCACCCACTCCCCGTCCCTCCCAGACCCCCTCATCCTAAGTTCTCACCCGGGTCTCGTGTTTCCTGTTATTGGCACTCCCTTGGTTTTGGGATAAAAGTGGTCGTTGCGTGGAGAGTCTCGCATCCAAGGGACCCAGGTCCCGCTAGCGGCTCTCTCATTGAGGACTCGAGGAGGGTAGGGGGGGGGGGGGCGCGCTCCAGCAGACGAGAGGGGTCGCGTCGGGGGTATCGGTGTGTGGCGAGGGGGGACCCCCAGGGGGACCCCAACGCCACGTGGGAGATGTGGGCTCGAACGCTCACTCTGGTCGCGGCGGTGGCCGCGGCGGTGGTGGCGGTGACAGGCGAAACGCAGGTACACGCACACGCGCACATACGTGTACACATGTCCACACACACACGTGTACACACACACACGCACGTGTACACACATACACGTGTGTGTGTGTGAACATGTGTACGCACACACGTGTGTACGCACATGTGTATGTATACACAAAGATCCCCCATATAGCCTTAACAGACTGTAGGGGCAAGTGCTGTTAGCGAGCACCTATGAAGGCCGGAACGGTACACGAGGGGGTGGGTGGCCAGCAACAACGCCCGACCGACCTTTGTCTCCCCAGTGGCGATGACTTTACACACCGCCCCAGGTACCAATTTGAGGCTGAGTCGACGTAGGGGAGACCAGTGGCGTTACTTGGGGGGTGCGGGGGGGTGCAGACTGCACCGGGTGACACCAAAATGACTCTACACATTTTTTTCGTGCAGTGTTTCAGCAGCAATTGTTTTTATATATATAAAAAAAATATTCCCAGCAGTTAGTTACAACAAAAACATTATTTTTCGTAAGCCCAGCTTACATGTGCTGTATCAATACAACCTACAAGGCGACAACTCTGTCCCAATTTACTTTGTGAACCTTCCTTCGAATGCGCTCCGGTCAGAGCCGTCATTGTTACAGTGACGCATCGAGTCACGTGGTTTCGTCTGCACGCGCCACAAGCTCGCGTTTCTGTAATCGCTGATTTTGGCAAATTTTCTGGTGTTTTAGCGACAATATCGTGGTAATGTGTATTTGTGAACCCATATCAATAGCTTCTTTGAGAATGAAGTAGTAATTAAAGGAAATATTGTAATTTAAAGGTGTAATTTTAATTTGTGCCAGTTTTTCATGTCACTACTATTGCCATTACATTCAGTGGTATACGGGAATTACGATTTGCGAGTAACATTAGCACAACAAATATTACTCAGGATTCTGTACGGTCTGGTACGGGCGGAGGTCCATGGGGGGTGACACCAACCCTCGTGACGCCACTGGGGGAGACCCAGAACCGGTTCAGGATAATCGTCACTGATGTTGGCCGTTAGCGGGAATCGAACCCGGGTTGTGAGGTTCGTAGCCCAGCACGCTAACCGCTGCACTACCGCTCCTCACTCACATGTACACACACACACACGTGTACACACACACACACGTGTACACACACACACGTGTACACACACACACACGTGTACACACACACACTCGTGTACACACACACTGGTGTACACACACACACGTGTACACACACACACGTGTACACACACACACGTGTACACACACACTCGTGTACACACACACTCGTGTACACACACACTCGTATAGCCTGACCAGACTGTTGGGGCAAGTGCTGTTAGCGAGCACCTATGAAGTCCACACATACGAACACACACACAGACGAACACACACACATACACATTCTGACACACACATAGATCAAAGACTGGGATTAGTCGGAACCTTAAACGTACACAAGGGTATGCACACCTACACAAAACCGTGCACGTGCACAAATACTGCTGGGGTTGGTGCTGCTGCTGATGTTGCTGCTGCTGCTGATGTTGCTGATGATGATGCTGTTGCTGCTGCTGATGTTGATGCTGTTGGTGTAGCTCGTTCAGCGCCAGTCGGCTGTTCCTATACTGTCCATCATTGTAATGGTCACGGCAGTGTTGCTGACAGTGGAGATGCTGTGGTTATTGCCGATGGGGAGCAGTGGTGTCGCGGTTAGCGCTGCGCTGCGCTCCGAAGCCATGGACCCGAGTTCGACTCCCGCTCACGCCCAACACCGGGGACGATTATCTGAATCGGTACTGGGCCTCGCCTAGGTCGACTCAGCCTCAAATGAGTACCTGGTGCAGCAAGGCCGTAGCCATGGAGTCAACATTGGGGGGGCGGACCAAATCTTCCAGGGTGTCTGGGGGTCCCAACCCACAAAAATATCTCGATTTGAAAACGAATTTCTTGCCATTTGCTGCCTAAATATATATTTAAAAAAATGCACACACATGGGATGGACTTTTTATTTATTTAACACAAAATGTCCAATAGTGTATTGTATTTACATTGCTCTGTTTTAACATTTTTACCATTTCTTGTTTCATTGTATGTAATGGCAGAGATTAGGGATTAATAAAGTACAACCATAGCCACAATCATATAAACAGAAATCTATGCATTGATTTAAATGAAGGCAAGTCCAGGTATTGTGGCCAAGGTTAAGCAAATTCTTTTTATTTACATAGCATAGCAATTTGTTTTTTATAGCAAAATATTGGGGGGGGGGGGGGCATTTTGAGCATATGTGTGTCCCCCCCCCCCCCAATATATATTATAATAACCGCCTTGCGGTACAGTGTGTAAAATCGTCGCCAATCGGGAGACAAAGGCGGGCGGGCGTGGTGTTGGCCACCCACCCCCTCGTGTGCCACAGTGCCGATCTTCATGCCCCAACAGTCTGTTACAGGCGACACGGGAGGTGGGGAGGGGTCTTTGTATTTGTTGCTGATGCTGCTGCTGCTGATAATCATCCTCATTATCACTATCCGGCAGGTGGAGTGCACGGGCGGGGCACGTGACTCGGTGCACAACTACTCAGCGTGGACTCTGAATGAGTCTCGCCTGGTCCCGCTCAGCGAGTTCAGAGGTCAAGTGCTGCTCGTGGTCAACGTGGCGACCTTCTGAGGGCTCACGACCCAATACTGGGGTAGGGACAACTGCCACTGGGGGAGAGGGGTCCCCTCGGCTAAAATAAATCACTCAACGTGGCGACCTTCAAAGGCGATGTTCTTCACTAATTTTTAGAGGGGGTGGGTTGCCACTTTCGCCGATAAGCCATCGTCAGTGTGAGCGGGGGTTGACGCAACATTTGAAACCTTTTGGAGGTTGTGACAGCAGCACGATGATGATGATGATGATGGGGGTGGGGGGGGTCTTCGCTGTTTGTGTGTTGTCGGTGGGGGCCGCGAGTCGTCAGCGGCCGCACAAAAGGCCACCAGGGACTTCGCCAGTGGCCTGCAGGGGCCTTGCAATGAGGAACGCTGGGCTCAGGGATAGCTCACGGCTCAATGCTGGTGTAGGGACAGCTGCCACTGGGTGGTCCCCTAGGCTAAAATAAATACATCTACCTCGTGACCTTCTGAGGGAGGGCTCGCAACCAAATAGTGGGGTAGGGACAGCTGCCACTGGAAGGGTCCCCTAGGACAAATGATAACAGTGTAACATTTTTATTTCTTTGTTGTTCCTGGGTAGTAAGTGTTATTTCCTAATTGCTTATGCCTCAAAAGTAGAGACAATGGCTATTATTCCACACAAACTTTGCTTTTTTGACCAGGACAATGATATTTTGAAAGTTACCTCTTTCCAGAACATTCCAGATAGATTCAGTAGTGAGTAAACTTCGGAGTAAATTCTAGAACTTTCCAGTAATATACATAGTAGTATAAACACAGGGGCCTTAAGCCCACCAGTTCAGTTGAGCTCCAGCTGCCTAAGTGGATACATATCTGCTTTTTTCTGAGATGGCATGAAGAGGCTGCAAGCATCCAACAGACGCATTTTGCTATGTCTGTGGCCAATTTATCAAGACAATAGCGAGAAAGTACTCTGTGGAAGCATCTGCTAAGATGTGTGAGGCCTACAAGGCATATTTCGGCATGCCTGTCGGGGAACAAGACAAACCCTGGGCACCTCATTTCACCTGCGAGCAATGCAAAACAAAAACTCTGGAAGGTAAGATGGACAATTGTTGCTCAGAATTTTATGTTATTGAAAAAAACATATGATATATGAAAAATGTTGCGAGAATCTCTTACACATTAGTCATGAGTGAAATAAATGCATTTTTGTAGGATGGTACAGAGGGGAAAAGAGAGCCATGAAGTTCACTATCCCAAAAATTTTGCGGGAACCCACTGACCACTCAAGCAACTGATACTTCTGCATGGTGGACCCTTGCAAAACGTCAGACTGGCAAGAATCCACCTGCTATCACGTACCCGGACCTTCCTTCATCCACACTGCCATGAGCTTCCCGTACCCACTCCTTCGTATAGAGAGTAGCCGTCTTTAGAAGAGAGCAGCAAGTCAGAGAGCGAGGAAGATGTTGTAGATCCAGATGAAAGTTTCAGAGGTGGAGCTGAGGAGAGAAACCCATATTACCTCAACCGAAAAGACCTCAACGACTTGATCAGAGATCTTAGTCTCACCGAGTCCAATGCCGAGCTTTTGACGTCTAGGCTCAAGCAGTGGAACTTGTTGGATGAAAGTGTGCAAGTCGCAGATCAGAGGAAGCGTCACCAACCTTTTTGCAGCTTCTTCACCCGTCAAGATGGGCTCTGCTTCTGCCACAATGTGACCAGTCTGTTCGAGGCAATCGGAGTCGCCTGTAACCAGAATTAGTGGCGCCTCTTCATTGACAGCTCATCCAGGAGCCTAAAGCTGTGCTGCTCCATAATGGTAACAAGTACCCGTCTCTTCCCCTGGCTCACTCGGTGCACCTCAAAGAGGATTACAACAGCATCAAGACCTTGCTGGACGCCTTGAAGTATGATGAGTCCGGCTGGGAGGTCATCTGAGATTTGAAAATGGTGGCATTCCTGATGGGTATCCAAGGCGGTTTTACCAAGTTTCCCTGCTATCTTTGCCTTTGGGACAGCAGGGACACCAAGGCGCACTATCACAGGTGGGACTGGCCACAGCGGACCGAGTTCTCTGTGGGGAGGAACAACGTCAAGTGGGGAGCCACTGGTGGACCCTCGGAAGGTGCTGATGCCACCATTGCACATCAAATTGGGCCTTATGAAACAATTTGTCAGAGCTGTAGATAAGGAGTCAGCAGCCTTCAAGTACCTTTAATACTTCTTCCCTAAGTTGTCTGAGGCAAAGCCGGTGTCTTCGTCGGACCACAGATAAAGAAGATCGTGAAGTGCAATGAATTCCCCAAGAAGCTCACTCGTAAGGAGAAAGCGGCTTGGGACAGCTTTGTCGAAGTGGTTCGTGGCTTCCTGGGCAATCACAAGGTCGAAAACTACGTGGAGCTGGTTGAGACTTTGGTGAAGAACTATGGCACAATGGGCTGTAGGATGTCCCTCAAAGTCCATATCCTTGATGCTCATCTTAATAAATTTAAGGAGAACATGGGAGCGTACTCGGGGAGAAAGGCGAGCACTTCCATCAGGATATACTGGACTTTGAACGCCGCTACCAAGGACAGTATGACGAGAACATGATGGGAGACTACGTTTGGGGGCTGATTCGTGAAAGTCATTTACAGTATAATCGTAAATCTCGAAAAACGACTCGCTTCTAAAATCTTTTGTAGTAATTTTTGTATTACTTTAGTATAAATACATGTTAATTTTTATTCATATGTTGTTTTTTTCTGACTTTGTGAACGAAAAGATACCAAATTCGCCCGTTTTCTCATTGAAAAATAAGTCAATTTCAAAATATCAATGTCCTGGTCACAAAAGCAAATTTTGTTGGGAATAATAGCCATTTTCTATACTTTTTAGGCATAAGCAATTAGGAAATAAACTCACTACCTAGGAACAAACATTGTGTTACATAGTGTAATAATTAAGGGGGTACGACCAGGAGATACAGTTCGGGGTTAGAGCTAAACTTGTATATTTGTAATGCGTAGGCTTTCGCGACCAATATCATCCATAAAAGGTTTTTTTTTGTTAGATCGCGTAAATATATAAATGTGTCGTTAAAACCCGCCACCACCCGACACAGCCAACTAGTAAGGGTTGTCACGTAAACAGAACGTGGCCAATTCGTCACTAGGACAGCACGCCAGTGTGTTGCAGAGCCAAGCCACAACATTTACAATCTGAGTACGACGTTTCGCCAGTAATCACAACTAGCTTCATCAGGCGACAGCCAGATTTGTGGAGAAGTCCACCCGTTTCGTTCCTTACACAGAGGCGTAGATGTGGTGACCACACTTCTGCGCTCTCGCGCCACGTGGCGGGGGGGGGGATTACTGAGGCAACGTACATTATGCATGTCCATTATGCGAGCGCTTTGAACTTGTCCTTCCTGTCTATTGCGTTCATTAAAATAGCCCTACCAACGGGAATCCCTACTGAAGTACGCTGCCCTTTGATAGATGTTGCGCCATAACAAGGCGCTGAAAGTCGCTTTACCTGCCACCACTGTCACTGGATAAACCCCCCCCTTGAGTGGCCCGTGACCGGAGGTTGACACCCCAGACCCCCAAGGGCTGGGGGCTGGGGGGGATAGAGACCGCCCACCGATTTTAAGACCCTTTCGGATTTAAGGCCCTTTAAGACCTTCCAGAAGGCTCCGGCTGTGGGGTCATTAGGGGAGGGGGTAAGCCCCGACCTGGGGATAAAAAGCCGGCCCTCTGAAAGGGTCTGGCAGTGTTCACCAACTCAAGCCTGAAGACATCCAAGACCTGAAGACTGGACCAACACCCGGGGACCCTCAACCGAGGCTCTTGTCAGAGCTGGGTTGGAGCGGACCGGTGGTGGGACCCGTACCCTAGCAGGGTCTGGTCAGTCTAGCCTCCCTTAGCGGCCGTGGCAAGGGACCTGGGTGTAGAGTAGCCCGAGGTGTGTAGGAGATACTGGAAGGGAGGCTGTGCCTCCCTTAGGCTATCGGGTTGAAGGGGCCGTACCCCTTCGTGTTAAAGTCGCCGTTAGTAGAGTTGGTGAAATAAACGCGTTGCCGCCAGAAGTCGTCTCCGTGTAGTTAGTAGACACACAACATAGGCATGCATTTAAATAATGTATTATTTGATTATTCGCTTCCACGCAGCACTAGGGCGATAGCTATCCGAACGGTTAAAGTTATTTTTATTTCTTTCGATTTCGATAGATTATCGAATTAGTCTTGGCCAGTAGTAGATAGTTTTGCACCGAACTTCAACATTATCAAAATCAACTGAGTGTCCTTGTTGGCACGGGTGTTCAGCTACTGCTGACAGTTGCATTTGGGAGAATTTAATCTTTGTCTGATGTTCTTTTAGTCTCGTACTGATCATTCGTCCATCACCCCCCCCCCCCCCCGCCTCACGCTCCCACCAGACCTGAATGCACTACATTCCCATCTCCCAGAGTTCCAGGTGCTCGCTTTCCCGTCGAACCAGTTCGGGAAGCAGGAGCCTGGCTCCAAGGAGGAGATACTTCCCGGACTCAAGTAGGTGGCCGTTATGGATCTGTCTCTCTCGCTCACTCTTACTCTCTCTGTCTATCTGTCTCGCTCACTCTTACTCTCTCTGTCTATCTGTGTCTCTCACCCTCTCTCTGTCTATCTGTCTCTCTCGCTCTTCCTCTCTCTGTCTATCTGTCTCTCTCGCTCACTCTTACACTCTCTCTGTCTATCTGTGTCTCTCTCTCGTCCTCTCTCTGTCTATCTGTCTCTCTCACTCACTCTTCCTCTCTCTGTCTATCTGTGTCTCTCTCGCTCACTCTTCCTCTCGCTCTGTCTCGCTCACTCTTACTCTCTCTGTCTATCTGTGTCTCTCTCTCGTCCTCTGTCTATCTGTGTCTTTCACCCTCCCTCTATCTATCTGTCTCTCTCGCTCACTCTTCCTCTCGCTCTGTCTCGCTCACTCTTACTCTCTCTGCCTATCTGTGTCTCTCTCTCGTCCTCTCTCTGTCTATCTGTGTCTCTTTCTCGTCCTCTCTCTGTCTATCTGTGTCTCTCTCGCTCACTCTTCCTCTCGCTCTGTCTCGCTCACTCTTACTCTCTCTGTCTATCTGTGTCTCTCTCTCGTCCTCTCTCTGTCTATCTGTGTCTCTCTCTCGTCCTCTCTCTGTCTATCTGTGTCTCTCTCGCTCACTCTTCCTCTCGCTCTGTCTCGCTCACTCTTACTCTCTCTGTCTATCTGTGTCTCTCTCTCATCCTCTCTCTGTCTATCTGTGTCTCTCTCGCTCACTCTTCCTCTCGCTCTGTCTCGCTCACTCTTACTCTCTCTGTCTATCTGTGTCTCTCACCCTCTGTCTATCTGTGTCTCTCTCGCTCACTCTTCCTCTCGCTCTGTCTATCTGTGTCTCTCTCTCGTCCTCTCTCTGTCTATCTGTGTCTCTCTCGCTCACTCTTACTCTCTCTGTCTATCTGTGTCTCTCTCTCGTCCTCTCTCTGTCTATCTGTGTCTCTCGCTCACTCTTCTTCTCGCTCTGTCTCTCTCACTCTTACTCTCTCTATCTGTGTCTCTCTCTCGTCCTCTCTCTGCCTATCTGTCTCTCTCTCTCGTCCTCTCTCTGTCTATCTGTGTCTCTCTCGCTCACTCTTACTCTCTCTGCCTATCTGTGTGTCTCTCTCGTCCTCTCTCTGTCTATCTGTCTCTCTCGCTCACTCTTCCTCCCGCTCTGTCTCTCTCACTCTTACTCTCTCTGTCTATCTGTGTCTCTCTCTCGTCCTCTCTCTGTCTATCTGTGTCTCTCACCCTCTCTCTGTCTATCTGTCTCTCTCGCTCTTCCTCTCTATGTCTATCTGTCTCTCTCGCTCACTCTTACTCTCTCTGTCTATCTGTGTGTCTCTCTCGTCCTCTCTCTGTCTATCTGTCTCTCTCGCTCACTCTTCCTCTCGCTCTGTCTCGCTCATTCTTACTCTCTCTGTCTATCTGTGTCTCTCTCTCATCCTCTCTCTGTCTATCTGTGTCTCTCTCTCGTCCTCTCTCTGTCTATCTGTCTCTCTCGCTCACTCTTCCTCTCGCTCTGTCTATCTGTGTCTCTCTCTCGTCCTCTCTCTGTCTATCGGTGTCTCTCTCGCTCACTCTTCCTCTCGCTCTGTCTCGCTCACTCTTACTCTCTCTGTCTATCTGTGTCTCTCTCTCGTCCTCTCTCTGTCTATCTGTCTCTCTCTCGCTCACTCTTCCTCTCGCTGTCTCGCTCACTCTTACTCTCTCTGTCTATCTGTGTCTCTCTCTCGTCCTCTCTCTGTCTATCTGTGTCTCTCTCTCGTCCTCTCTCTGTCTATCTGTGTCTCTCTCTCGTCCTCTCTCTGTCTATCTGTGTCTCTCTCGCTCACTCTTCCTCTCGCTCTGTCTACCTGTGTCTCTCTCTTGTCCTCTCGCTGTCTATCTGTGTCTCTCTCGCTCACTCTTCCTCTCGCTCTGTCTATCTGTGTCTCTCTCTCGTCCTCTCTCTGTCTATCGGTGTCTCTCTCGCTCACTCTTCCTCTCGCTCTGTCTCGCTCACTCTTACTCTATCTGTCTATCTGTGTCTCTCTCTCGTCCTCTCTCTGTCTATCTGTCTCTCTCTCGCTCACTCTTCCTCTCGCTCTGTCTCGCTCACTCTTACTCTCTCTGTCTATCTGTGTCTCTCTCTCGTCCTCTCTCTGTCTATCTGTGTCTCTCTCGTCCTCTCTGTCTATCTGTGTCTCTCTCTCGTCCTCTCTCTGTCTATCTGTGTCTCTCTCGCTCACTCTTCCTCTCGCTCTGTCTACCTGTGTCTCTCTCTTGTCCTCTCGCTGTCTATCTGTGTCTCTCTCGCTCACTCTTCCTCTCGCTCTGTCTGTCTGTGTCTCTCTCTCGTCCTCTCTCTGTCTATCTGTGTCTCTCTCGTTCACTCTTCCTCTCGCTCTGTCTATCTGTGTCTCTCACCCTCTCTCTGTCTATCTGTGTCTCTCTCGCTCACTCTTCCTCTCGCTCTGTCTATCTGTGTCTCTCTCGTCCTCTCTCTATCTGTGTCTCTCTCGCTCACTCTTCCTCTCGCTCTGTCTATCTGTGTCTCTCTCTTGTCCTCTCTCTGTCTATCTGTGTCTCTCTCGCTCACTCTTCCTCTGGCTCTGTCTATCTTTCTCTCTCTCGTCCTCTCTCTGTCTATCTGTGTCTCTCTCGCTCCCTCTTCTTCTCGCTCTGTCTCTCTCACTCTTACTCTCTCTATCTGTGTCTCTCTCTCGTCCTCTCTCTGCCTATCTGTCTCTCTCTCTCGTCCTCTCTTTGTCTATCTGTGTCTCTCTCGCTCACTCTTCCTCCCGCTCTGTCTCTCTCACTCTTATTCTCTCTGTCTATCTGTGTCTCTCTCTCGTCCTCTCTCTGTCTATCTGTGTCTCTCACCCTCTCTCTGTCTATCTGTCTCTCTCGCTCTTCCTCTCTATGTCTATCTGTCTCTCTCGCTCACTCTTACTCTCTCTGTCTATCTGTGTCTCTCTCTCGTCCTCTCTCTGTCTATCTGTCTCTCTCGCTCACTCTTCCTCTCGCTCTGTCTATGTGTCTCTCTCTCGTCCTCTCTCTGTCTATCTGTCTCTCTCGCTCTTCCTCTGTCTCTCTCACTCTTACTCGCTCTGTCTATCTGTGTCTCTCTCTCGTCCTCTCTCTATCTGTGTCTCTCGCTCTTCCTCTTGCTCTGTCTCTCTCACTCTTACTCGCTCTGTCTATCTGTGTCTCTCTCTCGTCCTCTCTCTGTCTATCTGTGTCTCTCTCTCCTCCTCTCTCTGTCTATCTGTCGCTCACTCTTCCTCTCGCTCTGTCTTGCTCACTCTTCCTCTCTCTGTCTATCTGTGTCTCTCATCCTCTCTCTGTCTAGCTGTGTCTCTCTCGCTCACTCTTCCTCTCGCTCTGTCTCTCTCACTCTTCTTCTGTCTATCTGTGTCACTCTCGCTCACTCTTCCTCTCGCTGTCTCTCGATCTCTCTCTCTCTGTCCCTCTGGTGCCGCGGCGATATCACCACTCACGAAACAACATCAGATATCGCGACGGCCTGTGACGATTATCGCGATATTAGTTTCCCCACATAACCAGGGGGTCGGCACCCTGCGGGTCCGGAGCAGCATGCGGCGGCTCTTAAAGGGACTGCTTCGTGGTCGTTATGGTTTAAGGACAACCACCACCGTCTCGTGTTCACCACAGTGCATTGCTGCGGCTCTTGCGATGTTGAAGGGGGGTTATCTTTTTACGGAATTCAAAAAAAAATTCTCTTTTTGTTATTTTTGGCTGCCCACATCACTGCGTGACGCAACGACCCAGCGGTAGCTCGAGATTCGGGGTTCGAACCCGTCCGGCCGGCTGCCCTGGTTAATACTGCGGAGCACGTTAACTCTGAATTTCATTAGAAGGGCACCACGGTGAATGGGAGATGTTGACTACCTCGCCTGGTGTATAGGAGGTCGTGGGTTCGATCCTGACCCTGTATACGTTGGAGTTTGCGTGCTCAATCTCCCCGTGGTGGTCGCGTGGATTTTTCTACGCGTACTCCGGGTTTTTGCTTCCACATTTAGAATAAACAACGTGTGTTTCGAATATTTGGCTGACATATATTTGGATATGATGAGCCACTTCGTTGAGCTATCATTTGTGGCCAGGTCGTTTCTGAAGAAAAAGAGCTATCTAGCTCAGTGGCCCTTACCTGGTAAGATACAAGATATTTGTTGTTTTAACAACAAATGTTGGCTGCTTCACTCACGCAATGGATGTTTAAGATTCCCTGGCGTAATTCGCAAGCGTGGCCACTGGGGCCACGGTTTAACTTTGCCAAAATGAACACCGCAAATTATTCAATTGGGATGATGGGGTCATACCCCACTCTCCTCTCCCTCGCCTCTCTCTTTCTACAACTTCCCTCCATCTCCTCTCTGTCGCGTCTTCCCCATCTCTCTCCTCTCCCCCCCCCATCTTCTCTCATCTCCCCCACCTCATCCGTCTCCCACCTCCCCCGCCCGCCCCGCCCCCCAGGCACGTGAGACCTGGGAAGGGTTTCGAACCCAACTTTCCGATCTTCAAGAAGGGAGACGTGAACGGGGCGGAGGAGCAGCCACTCTACACCTACCTCAAGGTGGGGGGCGGGGGGGGGGGTTGGGGAACAGTGCCCCCCACCCACACCCCATGCACCCCGGGGCCTCTCACCCCAGCGGGGGGCGGGGGGGGGCTCAGAGCGGGGGGTGTGGGGGGGTAATGTGAGTTGTGATGGTGATGATGGTAATGTGAGTGATGGTGGTGGTGGTGATGGTGAGGGAGTGATAGTGTAGCGGTTAGCGAGCTGCGCTATGAACCTGACGACCCGGGTTCGATTCCCGCTCACGGCCAACACCAGTGACGATTATCTGAACCGGTCCCGGGCCTCCCCTAGGTCGACTCAGCCTCAAATGAGTACCTGGTGCGGTGTGTAAACATTGCCACTAGGGAGACAAAGGTGGTCGGGCGTGGTGCTGGCCACCCACCCCCTCGTGTACCGTTTCGGCCTTCATAGGTGCTGCTCGCTAACAGCACTTGCCCCTACAGTCTGTTACGGCTATACGGGGGATCTTTGTCTTTTTTATGGTGACCATGGCAATGTGAGTGGTGATGATGGTGATGGTGATCATGGCAATGTGAGTGGTGATGGTGATCATGGCAATGTGAGTGATGATGATGGTGATCATGGCAATGTGAGTGATGATGATGGTGATCATGGCAATGTGAGTGATGATGATGATGGTGATCCTGGCAATGTGAATGATGGTGATGGTGGTGGTGATGGTGATCATGGCAATGTGAGTGATGATGGTGATGATGGTGATGATGGCAATGTGAGTGATGATGGTGATGGTGATCATGGCAATGTGAGTGATGATGGTGATGGTAATGTGAGTGATGATGGTGGTGGTGATGGTAATCTCAGTGATTATGGTGGTAATAATGATGGTGATGGTGGTGGTGATGGTAATGTGAGTGATGGTGGTAGTAATGATGGTGGTAATTATGGTGATGGTGATGGTAATGTGAGGGATGGTGGTAGTAATGATGGTGGTAATTATGGTGATGGTAATGTGAGGGATGGTGGTGGTGATGGTAGTGATGGTGGTGGTGTTGATGATCGTCCGGCAAAAACAACCCCCTACCTCCTCGTGGTGCCAGGCGGCAAAGCTGTGGTGGGCAGTGCTGTGGGGGGAGGGCCAATTTAGATTGGCCTTTCCCCTCCATGGCGTTTGTAACCACCACGGCGGCCAAATGGGGGCCTCTGGGCGGATGCGAGGGGCTGGTAACCCCTCCACCTTCAATTAATTACCACTAAACCACTACGACAAAATGTAATAAATAAGCTTGTGCCGGAGGCCCCGGAGGGACAGGCGTCTATGACGTCTCCTGGCCAAACCCCATTTGGCGGAGCCAGGAAACTGAATCCTAACCGTTGGGGCTCTTCCAGAAGCAACAAAAAGCCACTACGTGTGGCCACGTGGAAAGTTCGAACGCTCACTGCGGAGGAGAGGCTGCCACTCTTCTGTCGGGAGCTGGACCGGTACTGCCTGGATCTCTGTGGTATTAAGGAGGTCTGGTGGACCGGCTCTGGCTCCTGCCACCATGAGGGGTGGACAGTCCTCTTCTTGGGGCAGGAGACTGCCAAACAACATGGAGTGGTGACTCTTCTTCTGAACAAAAGAATGAAGGGGGTGTGGGAGCGTGGCGGTGAGGTGTGGGAAGCTGTATGACCCAGGCTACTTTAGGCTCGCCTTCCCATCAACCAGAGGCGAGGAGTGGTGGTCGTGGTTACTTATACCCCCACCGAAGACGAACATCCGTGGAGGGATGCAGGCAAGTCCGATAAGTCAGATGCCTTCTATGACCTCCTGTCACATGTGCCAGCTAAAGTGGTCCCTCGGGATAGAGTCATCTTGTTGGGTGACTTCAATGCCCGAGTTGGTCATGATGCTGGCACCGGGTCTGGAGTTATTTGAAGGCATGGGCCAGATCAGCTCAATAACAATGGCAGGTAGCTGCTAGATTTTTGTACAGCCCATTCGCTTGTAATTACCAACACGCTGTTCCGGCATTGGCACATCCACACAACATCATGAATGCATGCCGGGTCCAAGCAAGAACATCTGCTGAACTACATAGTGATGGAACAGCGTATGTGGGCCCATGTCCTTGACACCAGGACCTACCGTGGAGGTGATCTGCCCACTGACCATCGACTAGTCATCTGTAAGATGCGCCTGCCATTCTTCCACTCTGGTGGTGGGTGTACACCAAGGACCCCATTCAAACCCTTAGTGGCCTGGTCTCAGCTAGCTGATGAAAATTGCGAGAATTTAATCATCGCTTGCGGCTGGGGTAGGCATCATCCCCCACTCCTCCTGATGTCGAGGGGAAATGGGGGAGGTTTAGGACTGTGGCTCATGCAGCTGCAATGGTTGCTTTGAGTACACGGTCCAGACCTCCCCAGAGACCCTGGCTGACAGAGGAGGTGTTCAAGCTGGCTGAGAAAAAGCGACAGGCCCACTCTCATTGGCTACAGAATCCCATGTCAGAGAATGAGGAGGCTTACCGCAGCCTTCTTTTGGAGGTTCAGGGAGCCGTGAGGTGCTGCAAGGATGGGTGGTGGTCGCGGGTTGCTGAGGAGATGGAGTCTGCCTTAGTGGCCCGCGATCACAAATCGCTCTTTAATTCCATCAAAAAAGTAACCTGCAGCACCACACCTATTTACCATCATTAGGTGAAAGACCGATGATCCAATCTCCGACCCCCAGGAACAGGTTTGCAGATTTGCTGAGCATTTCTGAGGTCCTGGGGGAAGGGAAATCCCTCACCCAGGAGGAAAACAACGTGGGACAAAGTGAGGATGACCCTGCCGAGGCTGAGGTGCCTCAAATATTGAAAGAAGTCACCCCCTGTGAGTGGCTGGCTGAGGTGCCATCTGTTGAGGAAGTACTGAAGGCGATCCAGAAACCAGGAAAGGCACGGGGCAGAGATGATCTCCCAAGCGAAATGCTGAGGGAGGGTGGCGTTTGAGCACAGACTGCCCTATATGAAATCATAACAACAGTCTGGACAACTGGACAGGTTCTGCAGGATTGGAAGGATGCCCTGGTGGTTCCCCTCTTTAAGAAGGGGGACCGCACAGACTGTAACAACTACAGGGGCATCTCACTCCTCAGTGTGCGGGGAAAGGTCCTGGCAAGGATTATTTAACATCGCCTTGCTAGGCACCCTGAGGAGAGGCTTGTGGAGCCCCAATGCGGTTTCAGGAAAGGGCGGTCCTGCACAGACGCCATATTTTCTGTCTGTCTGCTACAGCAGAGGTGTAGGAAATTCCAACAACACCTACATCTCTGCTTTATTAACTTGATCAAGGCCTATGATACCATCAGTAGGCCTGGGCTCTGGGTTGTTCTTCGTGCTTTCGGAGTCCCTGACCCTCTGCTCCCGATCATTAAGGACCTTCATGATGGTGAGCGGGCCCGGGTAAAACTACGTGGCTGGGAGTCAGAGCCATTCCCTGTACACCTTGGGGTGAGACAGGGATGTCCTCTGGCTCCCACATTATTTAACATCCACGTCGTTCGTGAAGCCTTCAATTTCTGTACCAGAGGAATTGCTGCTCACTCAGAGGAGTAGTTGGAGGCGCTGCTGCTGAACCTGGAGCTTGCAACTAAGAGGTGGGGCCTTACCATCAGCCCCACCAAAACTAAGCACCTGCCTGGGTATTTCGTACCATCGGACACTCCACCCCCACAACTCCCAATCGGTGATGGGGCAGTTGTGGAGAGAGTGGAGAGTTTCCCATACCTGGGCAGTGTGCTCATTACCGGCTCCGGTTTAACAGCAGAGGTCTCACTCCGAATCAGTCGAGCGGCAATATCTTTTCATCGGTTGCGTAATGCTGTTTGGAAGCTACCTGGTGTGTTGCTCCACACGAAGCTTCAGGTCTTCTCGGCCACGGTCATTCCCTCCCTTCTCTATGCTTACGAAACGTGGACCCCCTAATGGAACATCTCCGCCGGTTAAAACATTTAGGCAGGATTGTGTGATGAGCTCACAAATCCTTGAAAGATCTGGACAAAGACCCATCGGTGAGCTCCTCCGGCAGGCAAGGCTGCGTTGGCTGGGTCATGTAGCCCGCATGCCCAATCACCGCATGCCGAAACAGCTTTTGTTCGGCCAGATTGAGGGGGCTAAGCGGGCGCGGCACGGGCTAGAGATGATATGGAGTGATGTGGTACAGGAGGACGTGGAGCTGAGTGGACTTGCCGATGACTGGTACCAGTGGTGTCAAGATCGGCCTCTGTGGAGGAGGCTCGTGAAGGACGCTACTGGGCAGTTGGAGGCAGTCGCCCTCCAACAACAAACGGAGGGCGGAGGAGCGAAGCTCACAACAACGAGCGGAGCGCCGGGTGGCTAAAGCACAGCAAGTTGGCACAGTACGGGGCACAGGTGGTGCATCAGCCAGTCATCTCAGCCAGTCGACCTGCGGCATCTAGGTCTGCCCTGCGACCTCCTGCCGGCAGGGTGTTCCGACATTTCACGTGGCCTTAACGTGCACCTAGCCTGGCACAGGCGCCGTGGTGATGTCACCGCCACTTCGTGGCGAATGGCGGTTGTTCTTGTTGTTGTTGTTGGTGACGATGGTGGTGGTGGTGGTGATGATATTAGCGATGGTGATGATGACAATCACACACTCCCCATGCCCAACACTCCCTCCCCCCGTCTCCCGTCCCCTGGCCCCCACCCCAGACGTCGTGCCCTCCCGTGGGCGACTCGTTCGGCAACCCTCAGGGACGTCTCTTCTACGAGCCGCTGCGCGTCTCGGACGTCAAGTGGAACTTCGAGAAGTTCCTCGTGAGCGCCGCGGGTCGCCCCGTGCGACGCTACGCGCCCCTCACACCCATGGCGGCTGTGCGCAGGGACATCCTCGCTTACCTCTCCTCGTCGTCATCGTCGTCATCATCGTCGTCGTCGTCCCGGTCCTCCATGCAGCAGCATCAGCAAGAGCAGGAGCAGGCCACCCATCACCACCACCACAGCCACAGCCACCACAGCCACCACAGCCACCAAGTCCCCCATCACCGCTAGGCACCCCGAGTGCCCACCGTGGTATATCCACGTTAAGTCGTCATCTTTGCTCACCGGTTCTTCTGCTCCTCCCTCAACACTCACTCCTCCACCCCCCTCAGCTCACCCCCACGACCCCCCTTAATCTCCCCCCCCCCCACCCCCTCACGACGACCACCACTACCGCCGTTCCTGTTCCCGCTTCAAAGTCTCGTTACATGGCTTTCGCTGATTCCCCATTCACCCAATCCATTCGTCATCAATTTCGCTTTTGTACCGAGTGCACGCACCACAGGTTCCGCCCATTACCACGTCCTCTCGTCTATTGTATTGGCCCCATCTACACCATTATATTCACACATTCTGCCCTTCTTAATTGGGCAAGGCGCTGGAAAAATTACGCTAAGATTTTGACCCCCCCCCCTCCACCCAGTCTGGCACTGACGACATGGTTCTACCATCCAATGAGAAGCCAGTCCCATTGATTCACACCCAGTCCCATTGACTCACACCCAGTCCCATTGACTCACACCCAGAGTCAGACCCATTGATTCAAGCACACCCAGTCCCGTTAGTGAGACCGAGGCTCATGCAATCACCAGACCCCATCCTCTTCATTCATTCCCACGCAGTCCCATTCATTCAGAAGGGTCCCATTCATTCAGAGGGGTCCCATCGTTCAGGGCCTCACATGGACCAGGTTCTCAGGTTCTCATCCAGTCCCAGACCAGGCCCAAGCCCCCTCCACTATTCACCTGGCCCAGCCCCGTCGGCCTCACCAATTGGTCGCCTGCCGCCTCGCCAATCTACTCACAGCCAATCATCTCTGCTTCCCCCCCCCCCCTTCACTCTCCCCCATATACACCACGCCCCCCCCCCCAAGCCTGGACTTCTGACCCACGGACCCCTGACCCACGACCCCCCCCCCCCCCCCCCACCCCCCAGCTTCAAGAACACGAATCCGCTTGGAGATAAGGGAACTGACTTCCATGCTAAACCTGACTCCCGTGGTAAACTGAACTCCCATTATAAACTGGATTTCCATGGTAAACTCAATTTCCATGGTGAACTGGACTCCCGTGGTAAACTAGACTCCCGTGGTAAACTGGACTCCCATTATAAACTGGATTTCCATGGTAAACTGAAATCCCATAATAAACTGGACTCCCATGGTGAACTGGAATCCCATGGTAAACTGGAATCCCACGGTAAACTGGAATCCCACGGTAAACTGGAATCCCATGGTAAACTGGAATCCCATGGTAAACTGGATTTCCATGGTAAACTGGAATCCCACGGTAAACTGGAATCCCACGGTAAACTGGACTCCCATGGTAAACTGGATTTCCATGGTAAACTAGAATCCCACGGTAAACTGGACTCCCATGGTAAACTGGAATCCCACGGTAAACTGGACTCCCATGGTAAACTGGATTTCCATGGTAAACTGGAATCCCACGGTAAACTGGAATCCCATGGTAAACTGGACTCCCATGGTAAACTGGACTCCCATGGTGAACTGGACTCCCATGGTGAACTGGACTCCCATGGTAAACTGGAATCCCACGGTAAACTGGACTCCCATGGTAAACTGGATTTCCATGGTAAACTGGAATCCCATGGTAAACTGGAATCCCATGGTAAACTGGACTCCCATGGTAAACTGGACTCCCATGGTGAACTGGACTCCCATGGTAAACTTGACTGCCCCCTAGCGAGCCCGATCTGCACGCGGCTGCGGAGCCGCAGGTTGCTGACCCCCCCCCCCAGCTGGTTCGTGTTCTTGTGGCGAGACAATCACCCCCCCCCCTCTCTCCAGGGGGGGGGGGAGGGGGGGTGTAAGGGAGGGGCTCCCCCACTTTGCCGCCCCCTTCATGACGGCCCCCCCCCAACCACCGCGCCGTCGCGGTGTGGGGGGGGCACCGATTTAGGGACCCCCCCCCCCTCACCCTGATAAAGGGCCGGGGCGGGGGGGGTGCAGCCGTGGGCCCCCTTTAGTGCATTCAGGGCCCCCGGTTGTAGGCATCCCTCGGGGCGGCTGTGCGGGACCCCCCCACCTTGAACCCCTCTGGAACCCCCCCGCCCCTTAAGACAGGGATCAGGGGTCAAGGGGTCAAGGGGTCGAGGCATTAAATGCAATGTAAGCACAGCTCCCGTGTCTCCGCGTCGTCACTCGCATCAGCCGTGCTCGATCCACTGCTGGACGAAGGCCTCGCTCCTCCTCCACCACCACCTCCCCCCCGCTCGCCGCGAGCCGGTGGCACCGCTCCCTCTCCCTCGGGGGACGTCTCGTCGGGAGCACGGGGAAACATGCGGTTCAGTGCATCGGCCAATTGGCTTCCACCACGATACCATCGTCGCCATCGTCGCCATAATTTACCGTCGTCGCCACCGTCGCAATCATCCGGCAGCATCGGGCTCCAGCAAAGCCAACTCTGGGCCGGTTTCCACCTCTCTGGGTCTCACCAGCAGTCAGGGCCGTTTTCACAGACGCCACTGCCCAGCGACAGAGCTCTGCGTGCAGCTGGGGGCCCCGTGTCGAACCCAGGCCCCGTGTCGAACCCAGGCCCCGTGTCGAACCCAGGCCCCGTGTCGAACCCAGGCCCCGTGTCGAACCCAGGCCCCGTGTCGAACCCAGGCCCCGTGTCGAACCCAGGCCCCGTGTCGAACCCAGGCCCCGTGTCGAACCCAGGCCCCGTGTCGAACCCAGGCCCCGTGTCGAACCCAGGCCCCGTGTCGAACCCAGGCCCCGTGTCGAACCCAGGCCCCGTGTCGAAACCAGGCGCGCCCGTATCTCGCGGGCCCTTGCCCACGAAACAAGCGGGGTAATAAAAACTACAATTTTGTTTACCGGGCCCGAGGCCCACCCACCCGAGCCAAGTCGCTCTTCATCATTCCATCTCCTTTGCCAGTACCAAAATGTAATAATCGGGTTTTTCCCATTTTTTTCTGGCAACAAAACTGAAACCTTTTTTTTAACAAGGATTCAAGTTTATCTTCTTTGGTTCTTGCGGTAAAGTCACGCACACAGTTTCGTCCCTTCACCTGATGAAGGCCGCTTGTGTTGTGGCCGAAACGTCGTGAGAATTTTATTGTGTTATTTTATTTTATCAATTTATTATTTTATTCTCATTCTACGTGGTGACTTTACCGAAAGAACCAAAGAAGATGAATCCTTGCAGTCACGAAAGCTTCAAATCGAGATTCATGTTTACTGCATTAACCACAATACCTGCAGTCAAAATGCAAACAAAAAAACATACTATGATAATATATGATGCATTGTCCTTGAAACTGATTGGTCCACACCAAGGGACGGCTTTCTTTTGAGCCTCGACCCAATTGGTGCTCGACCAGATGACGCCAGAAGGCGTCACACAGCTCAAAGACAATGCCACTATCAAAGTAATGAGGGCTCGGGGTGAGCATCTACATCATTAGACCTCCTTTGCCAGTACCAAAATGTAATAACAGGGTTTTTCCCCTTTTTTCTGGCAGCAAAACTGGAACCCTTTTAACAAGGATTCATGTTACTGTATTAACCACAATACCTGCAGTCAAAATGCAAACAAAAATCACACTATGGTAATATATGTGGCATTGTCCTTGAAACCGATTGGTCCACACCAAGGGACGGCTTTCTTTTTGAGCCTCGACCCAATTGGTGCTCGACCACATGACGCCAAAAGGCTTCTTTTGAGACGCGGCCATGGCTATCGCAAAGACGCAAAGAGATCGCTCAACGAAGCGGCCGAAATCATCATCATCATCAACGAAAAACAGCAGCAGCAGCAAAGTGCTCTACACGTTGATGTTAATTCTAAACGTGGAAGGGAGAGGGGAGGGGGGGAAACCGGAGGATCCCGGAGAGAAATAAAATCCACACGACCACCACAGGGGCACACCGGGCAGTTCCTCGGCAGGGACTCGAGCAAGCGTGGCCACCCCACCCCCCACCCCCGCCACTGCTGATGAGACCCGGAATGGGCGAACCCGGTCCACGGCGTCGCGGACGATTAACAAAACGCCGCTTCGACGCTGAAGGGCGTGGGGGAAGCGTGGAGGTGAAGCCGTCCGGTGGGAGCGGGGGGAGGGGCGCGGGGGGAAGTTGAACCCGGCCCCGTCGAGACGACACGCGGAGCTGCGATCACATCCCTCCGATACCAAAGAACAAAGATCCCCCACCGTGTAAGTGTGATGCCGCCGCCACGGAGTCGATCGGCGGGCGGCCCACCTGCGATCTCGCCGCCCCGAGCGGCGAGGCCGACGTTGCTCCACCCCACCACCTCCCCACCCCCCCCCCCACCGGAACACACACGCACGCACTCCCCCCACCATTAGAGCGCGTGGGGAGACACCCTGGCCGACAGGCTTTCACCCAGAAGCCCTCGTAAAGGGATAATCTTCATGGTTTCCTGCGGCCAGGGAATTGGACGGTCTCCCCCGACGCTAACACACACCGTGGCGCCGTGACTTGAGTGGAAGTGACATGTTCACGGCGGGGCTGCCCCGCCACCGCGGTTAGTACGCACCTCACGCACACGGGTCGGCAGGGCAGGTAGGGAGGAGGGCGGAGCCACGAGCGGCGGGAAAGCAGGGTCGTCCTCGGGCTGGAGGGCCGCTGAGCGGGTAAATTTAGATGCGGACGTCGCTGAAAGCAACGGCCCGGGGGATGCTGGGATACAGATGGGCCTACCGATTGGCGGGTGATCCCAGCAAGCTGATTGGCCCGCGAGTCGGCACCAGGTAGCCCCTTTGATGTAGAAAGAATAAAGCGGGTCAGGGCGAAGGGAAAAACTTCTCTGGCTACTCGAGTCAACCCCAGGCCCGTCAACTCCCGAGTCCAGCCGCGCGAACGTCCGTGGGACGTATCGACGCGCCGCGAGGACCAGCCGGCAGTGACGACGAACCGTGAGTAAGAGAGAGAGAAAGGGAGTTGGGACTTAGCTTAAGAGCAAAACCGGAGAGGGTAAAGGGGAGGACAGGTAGAGTGTAGTGCCGACTATCGAGCGATAGATTGGTCCTGCCCCGCTGATCCCGACTGACTCGGTTAAATAAGGGCTCGCCGACGCGGTGGAATAAATCGTCGGCGGTTACATAACGGACTGGTGTGGTTTTTGCGAGGGTGTGGAAAGAAAGCGGAAGCGTGGGTGCGCTTGCTGTCGCGGTGGTCGTTACATAACAGACTGGTGTGGTGGTTTTTGCGAGGGTGTGGAAAGAGAGTGGAAGCATGGGTGCGCTTGCTGTTCTCGGTGGTCGCCGCGTGTGTGGAGCGGCGCCGCGTGGATTGTGTGCGCTACAAACCGTCGGCTGCGGACTCCCACGTTGCGAGCGGATACCCGTCTCGCACGCATGCCCATCGCATAGCCCTTTAAACCCGTTTAATCCAATCCCCCCAAGCGTCGGAGTTAGCACGAACGACGTCGCTTACCCTCCGACCTTTAACCCCCCGGTTACCCGCGTGTGATTGGTGCGTGGGACTGCGCGGGCGGGGAGCGTCGCGTTTGGGTGCCGGCGAAGCGCTAGCGGGCCCCAGGGCGGTCGAGTGTGATGCCTCACCGGCCGGAAACCCGGACTCGGGGGGGAACAGCACAGGGGGGGGGGAACAGGAGCACGACGACCTTTCCCCGCCCGGGGAGGAGTGCGGCGGCTGCAGCTCCCACACTAGTGGAGAGTCTGGGAGCGTCGGTACTTCGCGGACAGGGTCGCAGGCAGGAGAGATCCCGGGGGCCGGCGACCCTAACATAAGCTTAGCAAACTGTCGGGGCAAGTGCTGCCAGCGAGCAGCTATGAAGGCCGGAACGGCACACGAGGCGGTGGGTGGCCAGCACACCACGCCCGGCCGCCTTTGTCTCCCCCAATGGCAATGTTTCATTTGAGGCCGAGCCGACCCAGGGGAGGCTCAGAACCGGTTGAGCCGGCAGCGTAGCGCTAACCGCGGCGCTGCCACTCACCGCCACAACGCAGCAGCACATCCACGCGCGACGGCTCTTTGGCGATTCAAGCCGAAATCCAGGCCGGGCGTTGTGCGCGCTGCTGCTGACGGCCTTCGTGGGGGTGAAGGACCACAGCGGACTCACAGCCGCTCCCTACGGGGCAGGCCAGGTCACATGGTGGCGGCGGCTGATGGTGGTGGTGGCAGTGGTGGCAGTGCGGGGGGCGGTGATGGTTGTGGCGGTGGGTAGCGGAGGTGGCGGTGGGCAGCGGTGGTGGTGCTGGGAGTGGCAGTTTTATGCCGAACTTCTCATGAAACTCGGGCAAGTGCACCAACAGCTGCGCCACCGCTCCCGACATCGTTACAGCAACAAAAACCCCCCTCCCCCGTGTAGCCCATGCTGGCTGCTAGGACAAGCGTGCAAAAAGAGCTTTTTAGCTCGTCGGATTCCTCCGGTATAAATATTCCGATTCTAATTCCCAAAGTCCCGCAGCAGCAGCAGCACCCACGAGGGCCGGCACGGCACCTCACGAGGCGAGGCCCCCACTGATGTGGCCAGCACCACGCCTGGCCGCCTCTGCCTCCCCTGGGCGCTGCACACACCACACGAGGCACCTCCGATTAGCACGGTTGGCTACGTACGGTGCGAAAGAAGTTCAACACACGTACGGACTCGTTCAAGGCCGAGTCGACCTAACAAAAACATCCCCCCCGTGTAGCCTAAACAGACTGTAGGGGGTAAGTGCTGTTAAGCGAGCACCTCTCAAGGCCGGCACGGCACGCGAGGTGGTGGGTGGCCAGCACCACGCCCGACCGCCTTTGTCTCCCCGGCGGTGATGTCTTTAAACACCGCACCAGAAGCTCACTTTAGGCTGGACCGTACGCACAGACAACAACGTGGGTTTGTTTATGTTCCTGTTTATATATAAGGGGATACAAAGGATGAAAGGGGATGCATGCGACTGCATAAGGGGGACAGGGGTTTTTGATGAGTCCGTTTGAGGCGAACCCCAGGCCGAGGGTTTGCTCCGAGACCAGGGCCTGACAGCAGCCAGAGGCAACATAAACACACACACACAAAGGCAAAGATCCCCCATACAGCCTTTGGTTCTTTCGGGAAAGTCGCCACGTAGGTATAAAATAAAATAAATCACGACGTTTCGGGCTCCAACGCAAGAGTCCATCATCAGGTGGGAAAGTCGTGGCCTGCTGCCGAGGCAGACTTGTTCACGAGGCAATTCAGATCTACAAACACAAGACACAATTTCAACCGAGAAGATGGGTTTCAAATTAAGCAACCATTGGAAAGATGTTCTAAATCGAGCCAAACATTAAACTCATTTTCACAAGTTGAGTTGTACCTGCGGTGATTGCTATATCGGGGAGACGAAGCGACATGTCTCTGACCGAATTCGCGAGCACAAATCAGATTTGAAACACGGCAGAACGAATTCTTCTGCCGTAGCTGATCACTGTTACAACGCTGTGGGTGATCACGATATAATTTTCTCCGATACCAAGGTTCTTTGCAAACCCACGTTTTTTTTTTTATCAGAGATGTGTTCACGAGGCAATTCAGATCTACAAACACAGCCACAATTTCAACGGAGAAGATGGTTTCAAATTAAGCAACCATTGGAAAGATGTTCTGAATCAAACCGAACATTAAACTAATTTTCAATGGTACAGTATATTTTTTCAAGTAGTGGCATCCCAAACTTTCACAGCTGCTTAAATTCCCTTTTCACACCACCAAAATGTAAACTCCCCCTCCCCCCCTCGCCGGTCTGCACATGTTCAACCCCTCTACACCGTTCATCATGCTAAGTCCGCCAATTGAATGCTAATTTTTATGCTAATTCCTTTGTCAAGGCACCTTAATTCCTCTCGCACAAGCTAAAAGGTCGCGGTCTGAGCTTGGCTGTGTTCACTCCAGCGCTGTCCTCGAGACAGTCTGGTCCCTTCACCTGATGAAGGCCACTTGTGTTGTGGCCGAAACGTCGTGAATTTTGTTGTTGTTGTTTTATACCTTTACGTGACTTTACCGAATAGAACCAAAGAGTATGGTTTAAAAAAGGTTTGAAATGGGTGTAGCCCAAGGGTCACTTCTCCTAACGCTAAACGGATCTTGTTCAAAGCGAGCCTATCGCTAATCTCGGAGAGAATCAGATTGCTCCGATTTGAACGTGGTAATTTAGACAAGACTCTTACAATCTCACGTAAAATCTCACTTAAAATCTCACATTAACGTCACTAGCCCCGGCCACTTCTTCATGACCCTTGGGCTACACCCATTTTAAACCTTTATAAAACAGTCTGCCTCAGCAGCAGACCACGGCTTGTGTTGTGATATTTTATTTTATTCCAAAAGCTTCAAATCAAGATCCCCCATATAGCCTTTAACAGACTGCAGGGGCAAGTAATGTTAGCGAGCACTTATAAAGGCCGGAACGGAACACCAGGGGGTGAGTGGCCATCACCACGCCCAACCACCTTTGTCTCCCCAGTGACGATGCTTACACACTGCACAAGGTACTCAATTGAGGCCGAGTCGACCTAGGGAAGGTCGGGACCGGTTCAGATCATCGTCAATGTTGTTGGCCGCGGGCGGGAATCGAACCCGGGTCAGCAGGTTCGTAGCGCTAACCGCTACACCACCGCTCCCCTACACGCACACTTAGTTACACAAGACAAAGATCCCCCATATAGCCTTAACAGACTGTAGGGGCAAGTGCTGTTAGCGAGCACCTATGAAGGCCGGAACGGTACACGAGGGGGTGGGTGGCCAACACCACGCCCGACCGCCTTTGTCTCCCTAGTGGCAATGTTTACACACCGCACCAGGTACTCATTTGAGGCTGAGTCGACCTAGGGGAGGCCCGGGACCGGTTCAGATAATCGTCACTGGTGTTGGCCGTGAGCGGGAATCGAACCCTGGTCGCCAGGATCATAGCGCAGCGCGCTAACCGCTACACTATCGCTCCCCACGCACACTCAGACACACACACACTGATGCACGAATTCACCCCGTGTTTACATTACTAAGAGAGGTTTAAAATCTGTGGGGGGGTGGGGGGGTGGTGCACGTGCACGGGGTGGGGGGGGGGGAGACTGTCACGTGTCCTCCTCCCCCTCCGCCCCCTCCCCTCCCTCCACCATCCTCATGATGTCATCGAGCAACTCCGAGCGGCGCTTCTTTGGCGCAGAAGATCCTGCAGTGACACACACACAGACACACACACACACAGTGACACACACACACACACAGTGACACACACACACAGTGACACACACACAGTGACACACACACACACACACAGTGACACACACACAGTGACACACACAGTGACACACACACAGTAACACACACACACACACAGTGACACACACACAGACACACACACACAGTGACACACACACACAGTGACACACACACACACACACAGTGACACACACACACACAGTGACACACACACACACAGTGACACACACAGTAACACACACACACACAGTGACACACACACACACACAGTGACACACACACAGACACACACACACAGTGACACACACACACAGTGACACACACACACACACACAGTGACACACACACACACAGTGACACACACACACACAGTGACACACACAGTAACACACACACACACAGTGACACACACACACACACAGTGACACACACACAGACACACACACACACACAGTGACACACACACACACACAGTGACACACACACACACAGTGACACACACACAGTGACACACACACAGTGACACACACACACACAGTGACACACACACACAGTGACACACACACACACAGTGACACACACACACACAGTGACACACACACACACAGTGACACACACACAGTGACACACACACAGTGACACACACACACACAGTGACACACACACACACACACAGTGACACACAGTGACACACACAGTGACACACACACACACAGTGACACACACACAGACACACACAGTGACACACACACAGACACACACAGTGACACACACACAGTAACACACAGTGACACACACACAGACACACACACACAGTGACACACCCACACACAGTGACACACCCACACACAGTGACACACACACACAGTGACACACCCACACACAGTGACACACCCACACACAGTGACACACACACAGTGACACACACACACACACAGTGACACACACACACACAGTGACACACACACAGTGACACACACACAGTGACACACACACACACAGTGACACACACACACAGTGACACACACACACACAGTGACACACACACACACAGTGACACACACACACACAGTGACACACACACACACACACAGTGACACACACACACAGTGACACACACACACAGTGACACACACACAGTGACACACACACACACACAGTGACACACACACAGTGACACACACACACACAGTAACACACACACACACACAGTGACACACATACAGTGACACACACACACACAGTGACACACACACACACAGTGACACACACACACAGTGACACACACACACAGTGACACACACACACAGTGACACACACACACACAGTGACACACACACACACAGTGACACACACACAGTGACACACACACAGTGACACACACACACACACACAGTGACACACACACAGACACACACAGTGACACACGCACACACACAGTGACACACACACACACAGTGACACACACACAGACACACACACACACAGTGACACACACACACACAGTGACACACACACACACAGTGACACACACACACACAGTGACACACACACACACAGTGACACACACACACACAGTGACACACACACACACACACAGTGACACACACACACACAGTGACACACACACACACACAGTGACACACACACAGTGACACACACACACAGTGACACACACACACACACACAGTGACACACACAGTGACACACCCACACACACACACAGTGACACACACACACACAGTGACACACACACACAGTGACACACACACACACAGTGACACACACACACACAGTGACACACACACACAGTGACACACACACAGTGACACACACACACACACAGTGACACACACACACACACAGTGACACACACAGTGACACACACAGTGACACACCCACACACAGTGACACACACAGTGACACACACACACACAGTGACACACACACACACACAGTGACACACCCACACACACACAGTGACACACCCACACACACACAGTGACACACACACACACAGTGACACACACACACACAGTGACACACACACACACAGACACACACACACACAGTGACACACACAGTGACACACACACAGTGACACACACAGTGACACACACAGTGACACACACAGTGACACACACAGTGACACACGCACACACACACAGTGACACACACAGTGACACACACACACAGTGACACACACACACAGTGACACACACACACAGTGACACACACACAGTGACACACACACAGTGACACACACACAGTGACACACACACACACAGTGACACACACACACACAGTGACACACACACACACAGTGACACACACACACAGTGACACACACACAGTGACACACACACACACAGTGACACACACACACAGTGACACACACACACAGTGACACACACACAGTGACACACCCACACACACACAGTGACACACACACAGACACACACAGTGACACACACACACAGTGACACACACACACACAGTGACACACCCACACACACACAGTGACACACCCACACACACACAGTGACACACACACACACAGTGACACACACACACACACACAGTGACACACACACACACAGTGACACACACACACACAGTGACACACACACACACAGACACACACACACACAGTGACACACACAGTGACACACACACAGTGACACACACACACACACAGTGACACACACACACACAGTGACACACACACACACAGTGACACACACACACAGTGACACACACACACAGTGACACACACACACACACAGTGACACACACACACAGTGACACACACACACAGTGACACACACACAGTGACACACCCACACACACACAGTGACACACACACAGACACACACAGTGACACACACAGTGACACACACACACAGTGACACACACACACACAGTGACACACACACAGTGACACACACACACACACACAGTGACACACACACAGTGACACACACAGTGACACACACACACAGTGACACACACAGACACAGTGACACACACACAGTGACACACACACAGACACACAGTGACACACCCACACACACACAGTGACACACACACACACAGTGACACACACACACACACAGTGACACACACACAGTGACACACACAGTGACACACACACACAGTGACACACACAGACACAGTGACACACACACAGTGACACACACACAGACACACAGTGACACACCCACACACACACAGTGACACACACACACAGTGACACACACACACACACACAGTGACACACACACAGTGACACACACAGTGACACACACACACAGTGACACACACAGACACAGTGACACACACACAGTGACACACACACACACACAGTGACACACACACAGTGACACACACACACACACAGTGACACACACACACACACACAGTGACACACACACACACACACAGTGACATACCCACACACACACAGTGACACACACACACACACAGTGACACACACACACACACAGTGACACACATACAGTGACACACACACACACAGTGACACACACACAGTGACACACACACACAGTGACACACACACACACACACAGTGACACACACAGTGACACACCCACACACACACACAGTGACACACACACACACAGTGACACACACACACAGTGACACACACACACACAGTGACACACACACACACAGTGACACACACACACAGTGACACACACACAGTGACACACACACACACACAGTGACACACACACACACACAGTGACACACACAGTGACACACACAGTGACACACCCACACACAGTGACACACACAGTGACACACACACACACAGTGACACACACACACACACAGTGACACACCCACACACACACAGTGACACACCCACACACACACAGTGACACACACACACACAGTGACACACACACACACAGTGACACACACACACACAGACACACACACACACAGTGACACACACAGTGACACACACACAGTGACACACACAGTGACACACACAGTGACACACACAGTGACACACACAGTGACACACGCACACACACACAGTGACACACACAGTGACACACACACACAGTGACACACACACACAGTGACACACACACACAGTGACACACACACAGTGACACACACACAGTGACACACACACAGTGACACACACACACACAGTGACACACACACACACAGTGACACACACACACACAGTGACACACACACACAGTGACACACACACAGTGACACACACACACACAGTGACACACACACACAGTGACACACACACACAGTGACACACACACAGTGACACACACACACACACACAGTGACACACACACAGACACACACAGTGACACACACACACAGTGACACACACACACACAGTGACACACCCACACACACACAGTGACACACCCACACACACACAGTGACACACACACACACAGTGACACACACACACACACACAGTGACACACACACACACAGTGACACACACACACACAGTGACACACACACACACAGACACACACACACAGTGACACACACAGTGACACACACACAGTGACACACACACACACACAGTGACACACACACACACAGTGACACACACACACACAGTGACACACACACACAGTGACACACACACACAGTGACACACACACACACACAGTGACACACACACACAGTGACACACACACACAGTGACACACACACAGTGACACACCCACACACACACAGTGACACACACACAGACACACACAGTGACACACACAGTGACACACACACACAGTGACACACACACACACAGTGACACACACACAGTGACACACACACACACACACAGTGACACACACACAGTGACACACACAGTGACACACACACACAGTGACACACACAGACACAGTGACACACACACAGTGACACACACACAGACACACAGTGACACACCCACACACACACAGTGACACACACACACACAGTGACACACACACACACACACAGTGACACACACACAGTGACACACACAGTGACACACACACACAGTGACACACACAGACACAGTGACACACACACAGTGACACACACACAGACACACAGTGACACACCCACACACACACAGTGACACACACACACAGTGACACACACACACACACACAGTGACACACACACAGTGACACACACAGTGACACACACACACAGTGACACACACAGACACAGTGACACACACACAGTGACACACACACACACACAGTGACACACACACAGTGACACACACACACACACAGTGACACACACACACACACACAGTGACACACACACACACAGTGACACACACACACAGTGACACACACACACACAGTGACACACACACACACAGTGACACACACAGTGACACACACACACACAGTGACACACACACACACACACAGTGACATACCCACACACACACAGTGACACACACACACACACAGTGACACACACACACACACAGTGACACACATACAGTGACACACACACACACAGTGACACACACACACACAGTGACACACACACACAGTGACACACACACACACAGTGACACACACACACACACAGTGACACACACACACAGTGACACACACACACACAGTGACACACACACACACAGTGACACAAACACACACAGTGACACACCCACACACACACAGTGACACACACACACAGTGACACACACACACACAGTGACACACACACACAGTGACACACACACACAGTGACACACACACACACACAATGACACACACAGACACACACAGTGACACACACACACACACACAGTGACACACACACACACAGTGACACACACACACACACAGTGACACACCCACACACACACAGTGACACACACAGACACACACAGTGACACACACACAGTGACACACACACACAGTGACACACACACAGTGACACACACACACACAGTGACACACACACAGTGACACACACACACACACACAGTGACACACACACAGTGACACACACACACACACAGTGACACACACACAGTGACACACACACAGTGACACACACACACACACACAGTGACACACACACACACACACAGTGACACACACACACAGTGACACACACACACACACACAGTGACACACACACACACACAGTGACACACACACAGTGACACACACAGACACACAGTGACACACACACACACAGTGACACACACACACAGTGACACACACACACACAGTGACACACACACAGTGACACACACACACAGTGACACACACACACAATGACACACACAGACACACACAGTGACACACACACACAGTGACACACACAGTGACACACACACAGTGACACACCCACACACACACAGTGACACACACAGACACACACAGTGACACACACACACACAGTGACACTCACACACAGTGACACACACACACACAGTGACACTCACACACAGTGACACACACACAGTGACACACACACACACTGACACACACACACACAGTGACACACACACACACAGTGACACACACGCACACACACAGTGACACACCCACACACACACAGTGACACACACACACAGTGACACACACACACACTTACACACCCACACACACACACAGTGACACACACAGACACACACAGTGACACACACACACACAGTGACACACCCACACACACACAGTGACACGGTGACGGTGAGACACTTGGTCACACGCGAGGAGTGGTACAGGCCGCGACGCAATGACAGACACGGGCCGTGGCACACCCAGTGACACAGAAGCTGACGCACAGTGACAGTGACGGACACCGAGTGACACACCAAGTGAAACACAGTGACAGTGACACTGACAGTGACACTGACAGTGACACTGACAGTGACACTGACAGTGACACACACAACAACGCCGCTGACCCTGGAAAATGCACGTGACCCCATGACCTGCGCACGGGCCCCATGACCCACACGTGACCCCATGACCCACGCGTGACCCCTGACCTAGCAGTGTCGACTTCCGGCGGGCGGTGTCGAGGTCGTGCTCTGTCCCCTCGGAGGCAAACTCCAGGACGAGGCGGCGTCCGTACAGATGGGTACTGCTGCACAGAGACGCCATCGCCCTCTACGCAGCACGACATCACCACCATCGACAACATCACCACCATCGACATCAACATCACCATCAACATCATCATCACCACCATCGACAACATCATCATCCCCACCATCGACATCATCACCATCGACATCATCATCACCAACCATCGACATCATCATCACCACCATCGACAACATCATCACCACCATCAACATCATCATCACCATCAACATCATCATCACCACCATCGACAACATCATCCCCACCATCGACATCATCACCATCGACATCATCATCACCAACCATCGACATCACCATCACCACCATCGACAACATCATCATCACCATCAACATCATCATCACCATCGACAACATCATCACCACCATCAACAACATCACCACCATCGACAACATCATCATCACCACCATCGACAACATCATCATCACCACCGACAACATCATCATCACCATCGACAACATCATCATCACCACCATCGACATCATCATCACCACCATCGACAACATCATCACCATCGACAACATCATCACCACCATCGACAACATCATCATCACCACCATCGACAACATCATCATCACCACCATCGACAACATCATCATCACCACCATCAACATCATCATCACCACCATCGACATCATCATCACCACCATCGACATCATCATCACCACCATCGACATCATCATCACCACCATCGACATCATCATCACCGCCATCGACATCACCATCACCGCCATCAACATCATCATCACCACCATCAACATCATCATCATCATCACCATCAACATCATCATCATCACCATCACCACCATGGACATCATCATCACCACCATCAACATCATCATCACCACCATCAACATCATCATCACCACCATCGACATCACCACCATGGACATCATCATCACCACCATCAACATCATCATCACCACCATCAACATCATCATCACCACCATCGACATCACCATCACCGCCATCGACATCATCATCACCGCCATCGACATCATCATCACCGCCATCAACATCATCATCACCGCCATCGACATCATCATCACCGCCATCAACATCATCATCACCACCGTCAACAACATCACCATCATCATCAACATCACAGAGAGTCCATCACTCTCTACACACAAGTGGCATCATCAACAATATCAGCATTGACATTAGACGTAACATGACCATCTGCATCAATATCATCAACATCACAATCAAAATGTTATTGGAAGGCAACAGCCTCCAACTGCCCAGTAGCATCCTTCACGAGCCTCTTCCACAGAGGCGGATCTTGACACCGCTGGTACCAGTCATCGGCAAGTCCACTCAGCTCCACATCCACCCATACCACAACACTCCATCTCTTCTCCAGCCGGTGCCGCGCCCGTTTAGCCCCCTCGATCCGGTCAAACAGAAGCTGTTTTGGACATGTGTTGACCGGGCATGCGGGCTACATGACCCAGCCAACGCAGCCTTGCCTGCCGGAGGAGCTCACCGGTGGGAATGTGTCCAGGACTTTCAAGGATTTGTGAGCTCCTTGCACAATCCAGCCTGGTTAAACCCAGGATGGATCGTAGGCAGGCCAGCCTGATGTTACTCCATTAGAGCGCTCCAACATCTCTCGCAAGCGGAGAGAAGGGAGGGCAATGACTGTGGCCGAAAAGTCTCGGAGCTTCTGGTGGAGTGACAGAGCAAGGCAGCTTCCAGAAAAACACAAAGCCACTACAGACTGTTGGGGCAAGTGCTGTTCGCGAGCACCTATTGAGACAGGAACGGTACACGAAGGGGTGGGTGGCCAGCACCACACCAGGCCGCTTTTGTCTCTCCAGTGGCGATGTTTACACACAGCACCGGGTACTCGTTTGAGGCCGAGTCGCCCAACGTGAGGCCCAGGAACGCTTCAGGTAATCGTCACTTGGTGTTGCTCGCGAGCGGGAATCGAACTTGGGTCGCCGGGTTCGCAGTGCAGCGCGCTAACCGTTACGCTATCGCTCCCCACGGACACACACACAGACACACACACACAGACACACACACGTAGACACGCACATACAGGCAACAACAACCGCCATTCGCCACCAAGTGGCGGTGACGTCACCACGACGCTTGTGCCAGGCCATGTGCACCTTGAGGCCACGTGAAGTGTCGAACGCCCGCTGGCAGGAGGTCACGGGGCAGACCCAGGTGCCACGGGTCGACTGACTGAGATGACTGGCTGATGCACCACCTGTGCCCCCTACTGTGCCAACCTGCTGTGCTTTAGCCACCCGGCGCTCCGCTCGTTGTGAGCGTTGCTCCTCCGCCCTCCGTTGTTGTTGGAGGGCGACTGCCTCCAACTGCCCAGTAGCATCCTTCACGAGCCTCCTCCACAGAGGCCGATCTTGACACCGCTGGTACCAGTCATCGGCAAGTCCACTCAGCTCCACGTCCTCTTGTACCACGTCACTCCATTTCTTCTCTAGCCCATGCCGCGCCCATTTAGCCCCCTCGATCCGGCCGAACAAAAGCTGTTTCGGCATGCGGTGGCTGAGAATGCGGGCTACATGACCCAGCCAACGCAGCCTTGCCTGCCGGAGGAGCTCCCGATGGGACCTTGCCCAGATATTTCAAGGATTTGTGAGCTCCTCACACAATCCAGCCTAGTTAAACCCAGGATGGATCGTAGGCAGGCTAGCCTAAATGTTTCTAACCGGCGAAGATGTTCCATTAGGGGGGTCCACGTTTCGCAAGCGTAGAGAAGGGAGGGAATGACCGTGGCCGAGAAGACCTGAAGCTTAGTGCGGAGCAACAGACCAGGTAGCTTCCACACAGCGTTACGCAACCAATGAAAAAATATTGCCGCTCGACTGATTCGGAGTGAGACCTCTGCTGTTAAACTGGAACCGGCCATAAGCACACTGCCCAGGTATGGGAAACTCTCCACTCTCCACAACTGCCCCGTTACCGATTGGGAGTTGTGGGGGTGGAGTGTCCGATGGTACAAAATACCCAGGCAGGTGCTTAGTTTTGGTGAGGCTGATGGTAAGGCCCCATCTCTTAGTGGCACGCTCCAGTTTCAGCAGCAGCGTCTCCAACTCCTCCTCTGAATGAGCAGCTATTACCAAATCATCGGCATACATAACGTGGTTGAGCAATAGGGAGCCATCCCTTGACCGCACCCGGGCATCGATCAGCCTCCCATTATATCTGTACCATATGGAGATTCCCCCGGTACAGCTATTGAAGGCTTCACGAACTACGTGGTCAAAATAGATGTTAAATAATGTGGGAGCCAGAGGACATCCCTGTCGTACCCCAAGGTGTACAGGGAATGGCTCTGAATCCCGGCCACGTAGTTTTACCCGGGCCTGCTCACCATCATGAAGGTCCTTAATAATCGTGAGCAGAGGGTCATGGACTCTAAAAGCACGAAGAACAACCCAGAGCCCAGGCCTACTGATGGTATCATAGGCCTTGACCAGGTCAATAAAGCAGAGATGTAGGTCTTGTTGGAATTCCCTACACCTCTGCTGTAGCAGACGGACAGAAAATATGGCATCTGTGCAGGACCGCCCTTTCCTGAAATCGCATTGGGGCTCCGCAAGCCTCTCCTCCGCGTGCCTGGCGAGGCGATGTTGAATAATCCTTGCCAGGACCTTTCCCGGCACAATGAGGAGTGAGATGCCCCTGTAGTTGTTACAGTCTGTGCGGTCCCCCTTCTTAAAGAGGGGGACCCACCAGGGCATCCTTCTAATCCTGTGGAACCCGTCCAGTGGTCCAGACTGTTGTTATGATGTCATATAGGGCAGTCTGTGCACAAATGTCACCCTCCCTCAGCATTTCGCTTGGGAGATCATCTTATCCCGCTGCCTTTCCTGGTCTCAGACTCCGGATCGCCTTCAGTACTTCCTCAACAGATGGCACCTCAGCCAGCCACTCACAGGGGATGACTTCTTCCTCCAATATTTGAGACACACACACACAGACACACACACACTCACACAGACAGACAAAAGACAAAGATCCCCCGTATAGCCTTAACAGACTGTAGGGGCAAGTGCTGTTAGCGAGCACCTATGAAGGCCGGAACGGTACACGAGGGGGTGGGTGGCCAGCACCACGCCCGACCGCCTTTGTCTCCCTAGTGGCAATGTTTACACACCGCACCAGGTACTCATTTGAGGCTGAGTCGACCTAGGGGAGGCCCGGGACCGGTTCAGATAATCGTCACTGGTGTTGGCCGTGAGCCGGAATCGAACCCGGGTCGCCAGGTTCATAGCGCAGCGCGCTAACCGCTACACTATCGCTCCCCACACGTACACACACACACACAGACAGACACACACATAAACAGACACATAAACAGACACGCACACAGACACGCACACAGACACGCACACAGACACGCGCCCGGGTGTACGCTCGCTCGCTGGGTGGCGGGTGCCAGGCTAGGTGCACTGACCCGGGCGGCGCGCGTGCTGATGAAGTCCACAAAGGCGAAGCCGCGGTGGTTAGTGCCAGCGCCGGCACCCGGCTTCCGGGGCAACCGCACGGAGCGCAGTTCCCCAAACGTGCTGCAGTCACACACAGCAGCATCAGCAGCAGCATCAGCAGCATCAGCAGCATCAGCAGCAGCATCAGCAGCAGCTTCAACATCGTCAGCATCAGCAGCAGCAGCACCTAAATAATCAGCAGCAGCACCATCACCATCTCCACGACCGGCACCATAAAAATAATCAGCATCAGTATCAGCATCATCAGCAGCAGCATCAGCACCAGCTACAGCATCAGCATCAGCATAATCAGCAGCAGCATCTGCAGCATCATCACCATCGCCACCACCATGACCATTTCCACCATTGCTATCAACCACCATCACCATCGCCATGACCGACACCATTAGAATAATCAGCATCAATATCATCCTCATAAGCATCCTCATCAGCATCATCATCAGCAGCACCATCAGCAGCACCATCCGCAGCACCATCAGCAGCACCATCAGCACACCATCCACAGCACCATCAGCAGCACCATCAGCAGCACCATCAGCAGCACCATCAGCAGCACCATCAGCAGCACCATCGCCACCACCACGAGGGGGCACCACCGGCACCTGAAGAGTTCGCGTATCTCCTGGGCCTTGGCCTGGAAGGGGACGTTCCTCACGAGCAGCTTGGAGCAGCGGGCGGGGGCGGTCGGGGCCACGGGGTCCTTGGGGGCCCGTGGGGACCCCGTGCCACTCCTGGGGGACATCGACACCAACACCATCAACACCACCAACAACAACACCACCAACACCAACACCACCAACACCACAAACACATTAACACCAACACCACCAACACATTAACACCAATACCATCAACAACACCAACACCATCAACACCACCAACACCACTAACACATTAACACAAACACCATCAACACCATCAACAACATTAACAACACCAACAACACATTAACACCATCAACACCACCAACAACACCACCAACACCACCAACACATTAACACCAACACCACCAACACCACCAACACATTAACACCAACACCATCAACACCACCAACACATTAACACCAACACATTAACACCAACACCATTAACACCAACACCATCAACAACATTAACAACACCAACAACACATTAACATCAACACCACCAACAACACCAACACCACCAACACATTAACACCAACACCACCAACACATTAACACCAACACCATCAACACCACCAACAACACCACCAACAACACCACCAACACATTAACACCAACACATTAACACCAACACCATTAACACCAACACCATCAACAACATTAACAACACCAACACCAACAACACATTAACATCAACACCACCAACAACACCAACACCACCAACAACACCAACACCACCAACACATTAACACCAACACCACCAACACATTAACACCATCAACAACATTAACACCAACACCAACAACACATTAACACCAACACCACCAACACATCAACACCAACACCATCAACACCACCAACACATCAACACAAACACCATCAACACCAACACCACCAACACATTAACACCAATACCACCAACACATTAACACCAACACCACCAACACATTAACACCAACACCACCAACACATTAACACCAACGCCACCAACACATTAACATCAACACCATCAACAACATTAAGACCATCAACACCATCATCAACATTAAGACCATCAACACCATCAACAACATGAACATCAACACCACCAACACATCAACACAAACACCATCAACACCACCAACACATTAACACCAACACCACCAACACATTAACACCAACACCATCAACAACATTAAGACCATCAACACCATAAACAACATGAACATCAACACCACCAACACATTAACACCACCAACACATTAACACCAACACCATCAACAACATTAAAACCATCAACACCATCAACAACATTAAGACCATCAACACCATCAACACATTAACACCATCAACACCACCAACACATTAACACCATCAACACCACCAACACATTAACACCAACACCACCAACATATTAACACCATCAACACCACCAACACATTAACACCACCAACACATTAACACCAACACCATCAACAACATTAAGACCATCAACACCATCAACAACATTAAGACCATCAACACCATCAACACCACCAACACATTAACACCATCAACACCACCAACACATTAACAAAAACATGAACATCAACACCATGAACAAAAAGACAAACACCTCCCCCCCCCCAAATAGCCTTAACAGACTGTAGGGGCAAGTGCTGTTAGCGAGCACCTATCAAGGCCGGGACGGCACACGAGGGCGTGGATGGCCAGCACCACGCCCGACCGCCTTTGTCTCCCCAGTGGCGATGATCACACATCACACCGGCCACTCATTTGAGGCGGAGTCGACCTAGGGGAGGCCCAGGACCGGTTCTGATAATGGTCGCTGACGTTGGCCGGCAGCGGGAATCGAACCTCGGGTCGCCGGGTTTGCAGCTCAGCCTAACGCTAAGCGCTACCACACTCCACCATCAACACAACCACCAACATCACCAACACAAACACCATCAACACAACCACCACCATCAACACCATCAACACAAACATCACCAACACCATCAACACAACCACCAACATCACCAACACAAACACCATCAACACAACCACCACCATCAACACCATCAACACAAACATCACCAACACCATCAACACAACCACCAACATCACCAACACCATCAACACAACCACCAACATCACCACCACAGACACCATCAACACAACCACCAACATCACCAACACCATCAACACAACCACAAACATCACCACCACAAACACCATCAACACAACCACCACCATCAACACCATCAACACAAACATCACCAACACCATCAACACAACCACCAACATCACCAACACCATCAACACAACCACAAACATCACCACCACAAACACCATCAACACAAACATCAACATCATCACCACAAACACCATCAACACAACTACCACCATCAACACAACGACCAACATCACCACCACAAACACCATCAACACAACCACCACCATCAACACCATCAACACAACCACCACCATCATAATCACCACCACTGACCGTGTCGCTCTCTCCGATATCTTCAGCTCCACCTTGTGGTTGTCCACCATCGCGTGCTACACACGACCACAGAGATTCATCGACCCGGACTTGCATCGAGACCCGCAGACTCGCACAGAGACCCACAGACTCGCACAGAGACCCACAGACTCGTACAGAGACCCACAGACTCGCAGAGACCCACAGACTCGCACAGAGACCCGCAAACTCGCACAGAGACCCACAGACTCACACAGAGACCCACAGACTCGCAGAGACCCGCAGACTCGCACGGAGACCCGCAGACTCGCACGGAGATCCACAGACTCACACGGAAAATCGCAGATTCAAACGGAGACCCACAGACTCGCAGAGACCCACAGACTTACACAGAGACCCACAGACTCGCACAGAGACGCACAGACTCGCAGAGACCCACAGACTCACACAGAAACCCGCAGACTCACACAGAGACCCACAGACTCACACAGAGAGCCACAGACTCACACAGAGACACGCAGACTCGCACGGAGATCCACAGACTCACACAGAGATCCCCGCAGACTCACACGGAGACCCGCAGACTCGCATAGAGACCCACAGACTCACACGGAGACCCACAGGCTCACACAGAGACCCACAGGCTCACACAGAGATCCACAGACTCGCACAGAGACCCACAGACTCACACAGAGACCCACAGACTTACACTGAGACCCACAGACTCGCACAGAGACCCGCAAACTCGCACGGAGACCCACAGACTCGCACAGAGACCTGCAAACTCGCAGAGACCTACAAACTCGCAGAGACCCACAGACTCACACAGAGACCCACAAACTCGCACGGAGACCCACAAACTCATAAGGAGACCCGCAGACTCACACGGAAACTCGCAGATTTAAACGGAGACCCGCAGACTCACACAGAGACCCACAAACTCGCACGGAGACCCGCAGACTCACAGGTCTCTGTGTGAATTACTATTTTTTATTTTGCCAGGTAAGACCCACTGAGCTGTGTAGCTCTTTGTTCAGAAGCAACCTGGTCACAAATGATAGCTCAGCGAAGTGGCTCATCATATCCAAATATATATATAGCAGTCAAATACTCTAAACGCGTGACGTTGATTCTAAATGTGGAGGGAAAAACCGGAGGACGACCCGGACAAAAATCCATGCAGGGAGAGAGACACGCAAACTGCAAAAATACGAACATCAGGGTCGGGATCACATCCAAAACTTGCTGCATACCAAGTGAGGCAGTTAACATCTCCCCACCGTGGTGCTCACCGACTCACACAGGGACCTGAAAACTAGCGCAGTAAGTCGATGGGTCTCTGCGCGAGTCTATGGCGGTGATGGCGGTGGCAATGATGATGATGATGAAGACTTACCTGGAGGGTCTTGAGAGCTTTTTTAGCCGATGCTGGCTCACGAAACTCCACAAACCCATAGCCCATCGACAGCTTCTCTCCTGCGCACAAAGACAACGGTGGGCCCCCCCCGCCCCAGACAGCCTTCACAAACGGTCGGGAGCTAATCCTGTTCGCGAAACATGAAGGCCGGCCACAGCGTGCGAGGGGGTCGGGTGGCCAGGACCCAGTGGCGATGTTCACACATTGAGGCAGTGCTCTCCTTGCGTGTGTGTGTGTGTGTGTACGTACACGAGGGTGCGTGCACACAGACACACACACGCACACACACGCAGACACCACAAAGACAAAGACGCCCCATGCAGCCTACCTGAGCTGTTGGGGGCGAGTGCTGCGAGTGTGTGAACACTCACCAGACGTGTTTGTCTTGCGAGACAAACTGCAGCTGCGCAGACGGCCACACTTCGAGAACACCTGCACAGCACACGCGTCACAACACGCGCGTCACAACACGCGCGTCACAACACACGCGTCACAACACACGCGTCACAACACACGCGTCACAACACACACGTCACAACACACGCGTCACAACACACGTCACAGCACACGCATCACAACACACGCGTCACAACACACGCGTCACAACACACGCGTCACAACACACGCGTCACAACACACACGTCACAACACACGCGTCACAACACACGTCACAGCACACGCATCACAGCACACGCGTCACAGCACACACGTCACAACACACGTGTCACAACACACGCGTCACAACACACGCGTCACAACACACGCGTCACAACACACACGTCACAACACACACGTCACAACACACGCGTCACAACACACGTCACAGCACACGCATCACAACACACGCGTCACAACACACGCGTCACAACACACGCGTCACAACACACGCGTCACAACACACACGTCACAACACACGCGTCACAACACACGTCACAGCACACGCATCACAGCACACGCGTCACAGCACACACGTCACAACACACGTGTCACAACACACGCACACACACGCGTCACAACACACGTCACAGCACACGCGTCACAGCACACACGTCACAGCACACGCGTCACAACACATGCGTCACAACACACGCACACATACGCATCACAACACCTGCACAGCACACGCGTCACAGCACACGTGTCACAACACACGCGTCACAACACACGCACGCGTCACAGCACACGTGTCACAACACACGCGTCACAACACACGCACGCGTCACAGCACACGTGTCACAACACACGCGTCACAACACACGCGCACACACGCGTCACAACACACGCACACATACGCGTCACAACACACGCACGCGTCACAACACACGCACGCGTCACAACACACGCGTCACAACACGCACACATACGCGTCACAACACACGCGTCACAACGCACGTGTCACAACACACGCGTCACAACACACGCGCACACACGCGTCACAACACACGCACGCGTCACAACACACGCACGCGTCACAACACACGCACGCGTCACAACACACGCGTCACAACACGCACACATACGCGTCACAACACACGCGTCACAACGCACGCGTCACAACGCACGTGTCACAACACACGCGTCACAACGCACGCGTCACAACGCACGCGCCACAACGCACGCGCCACAACACACGCGTCACAACGCACGCGTCACAACGCACGTGTCACAACACACGTGTCACAACGCACGTGTCACAACACACGCGCCACAACACACGCGTCACAACACACGCATACGTCACAACGCACGTGCGCATCACAACACGCAGGTGTGTCACACACGGCAAGAAAACGTACACGCGTCACAGACGCGGCACAACACACACCGCCATGCCCGTCACACCACACCCACGAGACGGCGACGGTGGTGGTGTCACCTGCTGAAGAGTCTCTTCGCTGGTGAGGAGGTTGAGGTTCTTGATGAAGATGGTGCAGCCAGGAAGATGCTGATCTTCGTCGTCGTCATCATCATCATCATCGTCCTTGCCAGGTTTTGTTTCTGCCAAGCACAAGACGGGCCCCCCCCCCCCCCCACATACACACACGCAGCGAAGCCGTCACACAAACGTGCAGCCCCCCGCAACTGCCGGCTAGCCCCACCACCGCTGGAGGCGGGGGGGGGGGGCTCCGTTGGGTGGGAAGGAGAGAGACAGCCCCCCACTCTCTCTCCATGCCACGCCACACAGAGACAAAGACTCCACCCCCACTCCCACCCCCATAGCCCACACAGAGACAAAGATGAAGGCCGGCACGGCACGCCCGGGGGTTCGGTGGCCAGCACCACGCCCTGCCGCCTTTGTCTTCCCAATGGCGATGTTTCACCACGCCGCGCCGGGTCGTCATTCGAGGCCGAGTCGACCTAGGGGAGGCCCAGGACGGGTTCAGATAATCGCAGCGCTAACCCGCTACACTACCGCTCCCCAACAACAACCACGACCGCCGTTCGCCACTAAGTGGCGGCGAAGTCGCGACGGAGCTTGTGCCAGGCTAGGTGCACGTCAAGGCACACGTGAAGTGTCGAACGCCCGCTGGCAGGAGGTCACTGGGCAGACCCAGCAGGTGCCACGGGTCGACTGACTAAGATGACTGGCTGATGCACCACCTGTGCCCCCTACTGTGCCAACCTGCTGTGCTTTAGCCACCCGGCGCTCCGCACGTTGTTGTGAGCGTCGCTCCTCTGCCCTCCGCTGTTGCTGGAGGGCGACTGCCTCCAACTGCCCAGTAGCATCCTTCACGAGCCTCCTCCACAGAGGCCGATCTTGACACCGCTGGTACCGGTCATCGGCAAGTCCACTCAGCTCCACGTCCTCTCGCACCCGTTTAGCCCCCTCTCCGCTCCACACACACACAGCACGCGCACAGGCACACACACACACAAACACACACGCCCACTCACCCTTGCCTCTCACTCCTTCTGGTTCCACCGCCGTTGCTCTCCCCTCCTCCTCCTCCTCCTCCACCTCCTCCTCTTTCCTCTTCTGCTGCTGGGAGCCGCGGGGGGGGCGTCCGGGGGCCTGACCCGTGACCTCCACATGACCCCCGACTCCCGCGTCCGGCTGCCCTCCGACCTCCTGCGACCTCTTGGCAAACACGTCGATGGGCGCCCACTCGAGGAAGAGAGGCACGCTCTTGAACTGCGGTCGCCACATGCCAGCCGCGCGTGTGCACAACACACACAACACACACGTGACACACACACACACACAACACACGCACGCGCGTGTACGCACAGACACGCGCACGTAACGCACAGAGTCGCGCGCACATCGCACGAATCTCAACGCGGTTGGCCAACAACGCCGTGTGCGGCCATGAAACGGGAAAAAAAATCAAATGATGGCCGGCGTTTCGGGCGATGGCCCCCCGTTCAGTCGTGGCCGTCGACTCAACGGGCACCAGGAGGATGAACCACACGCAGAGGAGCGACGAGGCGGCGGCGGCGGCGGCCGGGCAGCGAATGAGTGCTCACACGCGTGGGAGGAAGCTCGGGTAGCACCCCGGAGAAAAAGCCGCGCGTGCGAGGGAGCAACGCTCTATCCCAGTAGAGGTGTAAACAGGTGGACGTGCGTATGTGCACGTGGCGGACGTCACATTTATCCCCTCTACTTGAGAACGAAAACAGGAGGATTTCTCGAGAAATCTGGAGGTCGCCCGACTATGCCGGTTGTAATTACTGGCGAAACGTCGTACTCAGATTGTAAAAGTTGTGGGTTTACTCTCCAACCCACCGGCGTGCTGCTGAACTTGTAATGGATTGGCCACGTTCTGTATACGTGACAAACCTTACTAGTTGGCTGTGTCGGGTGGTGGCGGGTCTAACGACACATTTATGTGTTTACGCGATCGAACAAAAAAACAGACCTCAGTTATGTGCGTGCGTTTGTTGAGCTTCTTTCGTGCCGTACAGAGCCAACAGTGCTAATCGGAGGTGTGGCAGAAGGACGATAAACTAAACCCATATGACTGTGCGAGTGAGTCTATGGGTCTCTTCTCTGTGCGAGTGAGTCTATGGGTCTCTTCTCTGTGCGAGTGAGTCTATGGGTCTCTTCTCTGTGCGAGTGAGTCTATGGGTCTCTTCTCTGTGCGAGTGAGTCTATGGGTCTCGTCTCTGTGCGAGTGAGTCTATGGGTCTCGTCTCTGTGCGAGTAAGTCTATGCGTCTCTTCTATGTGCGAGTGAGTCTATGGGTCTCTTTGTGCGAGTGAGTCTATGGGTCTCTTCTCTGTGCGAGTGAGTCTATGGGTCTCTCTGTGCGAGTGAGTCTATGGGTCTCTTCTCTGTGCGAGTGAGTCTATGGGTCTCTTCTCTGTGCGAGTGAGTCTATGGGTCTCTTCTCTGTGCGAGTGAGTCTATGGGTCTCTCTGTGCGAGTAAGTCTATGGGTCTCTTCTCTGTGCGAGTGAGTCTATGGGTCTCTTCTCTGTGCGAGTGAGTCGACGTGTCTCTTCTCTGTGCGAGTGAGTCTACGTGTCTCTCTGTGCGAGTGAGTCTATGGGTTTCTCTGTGTGAGTGAGTCTATGGGTCTCGTCTCTGTGCGAGTGAGTCTACGTGTCTCTTCTCTGTGCGCGTGAGTCTATGGGTTTCTCTGTGTGAGTGAGTCTATGGGTCTCGTCTCTGTGTGAGTGAGTCTATGGGTCTCTCTGTGCGAGTGAGTCTATGGGTCTCTTCTCTGTGTGAGTGAGTCTATGGGTCTCTTCTCTGTGCGAGTGAGTCTATGGGTCTCGTCTCTGTGCGAGTGAGTCTATGGGTCTCTTCTCTGTGTGAGTGAGTCTATGGGTCTCTTCTCTGTGCGAGTGAGTCTATGGGTCTCGTCTCTGTGCGAGTGAGTCTATGGGTCTCGTCTCTGTGTGAGTGAGTCTATGGGACTCTCTGAGCGAGTGAGTCTATGAGTCTCTTCTCTGTGCGAGTGAGTCTATAGGTCTCGTCTCTGTGCGAGTGAGTCTATGGGACTCTCTGTGCGAGTGAGTCTATGGGTCTCTTCTCTGTGCGAGTGAGTCTATGAGTCTCTTCTCTGTGGGAGTGAGTATATAGGTCTCTTCTCTGTGCGAGTGAGTCTATGGGTCTCGTCTCTGTGCGAGTGAGTCTATGGGTCTCGTCTCTGTGTGAGTGAGTCTATGGGACTCTCTGAGCGAGTGAGTCTATGAGTCTCTTCTCTGTGCGAGTGAGTCTATGGGTCTCGTCTCTGTGCGAGTGAGTCTATGGGACTCTCTGTGCGAGTGAGTCTATGGGTCTCGTCTCTGTGCGAGTGAGTCTATGGGACTCTCTGTGCGAGTGAGTCTATGTGTCTCTTCTCTGTGCGAGTGAGTCTATGGGTCTCTTCTCTGTGCGAGTGAGTCTATGGGTCTCTTCTCTGTGTGAGTGAGTCTATGCGTCTCTTCTCTGTGCGAGTGAGTCTATGGGTCTCTCTGTGCGAGTGAGTCTATGGGTCTCTTCTCTGTGGGAGTGAGTATATGGGTCTCTTCTCTGTGTGAGTGAGTCTATGGGTCTCTTCTCTGTGCGAGTGAGTCTATGGGTCTCGTCTCTGTGCGAGTGAGTCTATGGGTCTCTTCTCTGTGCGAGTGAGTCTATGGGTCTCTTCTCTGTGCGAGTGAGTCTATGGGTCTCTCTGTGCGAGTGAGTCTATGGGTCTCTACTCTGTGCGAGTGAGTCTATGGGTTTCTCTGTGTGAGTGAGTCTATGGGTCTCTTCTCTGTGTGAGTGAGTCTATGGGTCTCTTCTCTGTGCGAGTGAGTCGATGGGTCTCTTCTCTGTGCGAGTGAGTCTATGGGTCTCGTCTCTGTGCGAGTGAGTCTATGGGTCTCGTCTCTGTGTGAGTGAGTCTATGGGACTCTCTGTGCGAGTGAGTCTATGGGTCTCGTCTCTGTGTGAGTGAGTCTATGGGACTCTCTGTGTGAGTGAGTCTATGCGTCTCTTCTCTGTGCGAGTTAGTCTATGGGTCTCTTTTCTGTGCGAGTGAGTCTATGGGTCTCTTCTCTGTGGGAGTGAGTATATGGGTCTCTTCTCTGTGTGAGTGAGTCTATGGGTCTCGTCTCTGTGCGAGTGAGTCTATGGGTCTCTTCTCTGTGTGAGTGAGTCTATGGTTCTCTTCTCTGTGCGAGTGAGTCTATGGGTCTCGTCTCTGTGCGAGTGAGTCTATGGGTCTCTTCTCTGTGCGAGTGAGTCTATGGGTCTCTTCTCTGTGCGAGTGAGTCTATGGGTCTCTCTGTGCGAGTGAGTCTATGGGTCTCTACTCTGTGCGAGTGAGTCTATGGGTTTCTCTGTGTGAGTGAGTCTATGGGTCTCTTCTCTGTGTGAGTGAGTCTATGGGTCTCTTCTCTGTGCGAGTGAGTCGATGGGTCTCTTCTCTGTGCGAGTGAGTCTATGGGTCTCGTCTCTGTGCGAGTGAGTCTATGGGTCTCGTCTCTGTGTGAGTGAGTCTATGGGACTCTCTGTGCGAGTGAGTCTATGGGTCTCGTCTCTGTGTGAGTGAGTCTATGGGACTCTCTGAGCGAGTGAGTCTATGAGTCTCTTCTCTGTGCGAGTGAGTCTATGGGTCTCGTCTCTGTGCGAGTGAGTCTATGGGACTCTCTGTGCGAGTGAGTCTATGGGTCTCGTCTCTGTGCGAGTGAGTCTATGGGACTCTCTGTGCGAGTGAGTCTATGTGTCTCTTCTCTGTGCGAGTGAGTCTATGGGTCTCTTCTCTGTGGGAGTGAGTCTATGGGTCTCTTCTCTGTGCGAGTGAGTCTATGGGTCTCTTCTCTGTGGGAGTGAGTCTATGGGTCTCTTCTCTGTGCGAGTGAGTCTATGGGTCTCTTCTCTGTGCGAGTGAGTCTCTGGGTCTCGTCTCTGTGAGAGTGAGTCTATGGGTCTCTTCTCTGTGCGAGTGAGTCTATGGGTCTGTCTCTGTGCGAGTGAGTCTATGGGTCTCTTCTCTGTGGGAGTGAGTCTACTTCTCTGTGGGAGTGAGTCTATGGGTCTCTTCTCTGTGGGAGTGAGTCTACGTGTCTCTCTCTGTGCGAGTGAGTCTATGGGTCTCCTCTCTGTGGGAGTGAGTCTAAGGGTCTCTTCTCTGTGCGAGTGAGTCTATGGGTCTCTTCTCTGTGCGAGTGAGTCTCTGGGTCTCGTCTCTGTGAGAGTGAGTCTATGGGTCTCGTCTCTGTGAGAGTGAGTCTACTTCTCTGTGGGAGTGAGTCTATGGGTCTCTTCTCTGTGCGAGTGAGTCTATGGGTCTCTCTGTGGGAGTGAGTCTATGGGTCTCGTCTCTGAGAGAGTGAGTCTATGGGTCTCGTCTCTGTGTGAGTGAGTCTATGGGACTCTCTGTGCGAGTGAGTCTATGGGTCTCGTCTCTGTGCGAGTGAGTCTATGGGTCTCTTCTCTGTGCGAGTGAGTCTATGGGTCTCTTCTCTGTGTGAGTGAGTCTATAGGTCTCTTCTCTGTGCGAGTGAGTCTATGGGTCTCTCTGTGCGAGTGAGTCTATGGGTCTCTTCTCTGTGTGAGTGAGTCTATAGGTCTCTTCTCTGTGCGAGTGAGTCTATGGGTCTCTTCTCTGTGTGAGTGAGTCTATGGGTCTCTCTGTGCGAGTGAGTCTATGGGTCTCTCTGTGCGAGTGAGTCTATGGGTCTCTTCTCTGTGCGAGTGAGTCTATGGGTCTCTCTGTGCGAGTGAGTCTACGTGTCTCTCTGTGCGAGTGAGTCTATGGGTCTGTCTCTGTGCGAGTGAGTCTATGGGTCTCTTCTCTGTGGGAGTGAGTCTATGGGTCTCTCTGTGCGAGTGAGTCTATGGGTCTGTCTCTTTGCGAGTGAGTCTATGGGTCTCTCTGTGTGAGTGAGTCTATGGGTCTCTCTGTGCGAGTGAGTCTACGTGTCTCTCTGTGTGAGTGAGTCTACGTGTCTCTCTGTGTGAGTGAGTCTACGTGTCTCTCTGTGCGAGTGAGTCTATGGGTCTCTCTGTGCGAGTGAGTCTATGGGTCTCTACTCTGTGCGAGTGAGTCTATGTGTCTCTTCTCTGTGCGAGTGAGTCTATGGGTCTCTTCTCTGTGCGAGTGAGTCTATGGGTCTCTCTGTGCGAGTGAGTCTACGTGACTCTCTCTGTGCGAGTGAGTCTATGGGTCTCGTCTCTGTGCGAGTGAGTCTATGGGTCTCTACTCTGTGCGAGTGAGTCTATGGGTCTCTCTGTGCGAGTGAGTCTACGTGTCTCTCTCTGTGCGAGTGAGTCTATGGGTCTCGTCTCTGTGCGAGTGAGTCTATGGGTCTCTACTCTGTGCGAGTGAGTCTATGGGTCTCGTCTCTGTGCGAGTGAGTCTATGGGTCTCTACTCTGTGCGAGTGAGTCTATGGGTCTCTACTCTGTGCGAGTGAGTCTATGTGTCTCTCTGTGTGAGTGAGTCTATGGGTCTCTCTGTGCGAGTGAGTCTATGTGTCTCTCTCTGTGTGAGTGAGTCTATGGGTGTCTCTGTGCGAGTGAGTCTATGGGTCTCTTCTCTGTGCGAGTGAGTCTATGGGTCTCTCTGTGGGAGTGAGTCTATGGGTCTCTACTCTGTGTGAGTGAGTCTATGGGTCTCTTCTCTGTGCGAGTGAGTCTATGGGTCTCTCTGTGGGAGTGAGTCTATGGGTCTCTACTCTGTGTGAGTGAGTCTATGGGTCTCTCTGTGCGAGTGAGTCTACGTGTCTCTCTCTGTGCGAGTGAGTCTATGGGTCCCTCTGTGTGAGTGAGTCTACGTGTCTCTCTCTGTGCGAGTGAGTCTATGGGTCTCTCTGTGCGAGTGAGTCTATGGGTCTCTCTGTGCGAGTGAGTCTATGTGTCTCTCTCTGTGCGAGTGAGTCTATGGGTCTCTCTGTGCGAGTGAGTCTACGTGTCTCTCTCTGTGCGAGTGAGTCTATGGGTCTCTCTGTGCGAGTGAGTCTATGGGTCTCTCTGTGCGAGTGAGTCTATGGGTCTCTCTGTGCGAGTGAGTCTATGTGTCTCTCTCTGTGCGAGTGAGTCTACGGGTCTCTCTGTGCGAGTGAGTCTACGTGTCTCTCTGTGCGAGTGAGTCTATGGGTCTCTCTGTGCGAGTGAGTCTATAGGTCTCTTCTCTGTGTGAGTGAGTCTATGGGTCTCTTCTCTGTGCGAGTGAGTCTATGGGTCTCTTCTCTGTGCGAGTGAGTCTATGGGTGTCTCTGTGCGAGTGAGTCTATGGGTCTCGTCTCTGTGTGAGTGAGTCTATGGGTCTCTCTGTGCGAGTGAGTCTACGTGTCTCTCTCTGTCCGAGTGAGTCTATGGGTCTCTCTGTGCGAGTGAGTCTATGGGTCTCTCTGTGTGAGTGAGTCTATGGGTCTCTCTGTGCGAGTGAGTCTATGGGTCTCTTCTCTGTGCGAGTGAGTCTAAGGGTCTCTTCTCTGTGTGAGTGAGTCTATGGGTCTCTCTCTGTGCGAGTGAGTCTATGGGTCTCTTCTCTGTGCGAGTGAGTCTACGTGTCTCTTCTCTGTGAGAGTGAGTCTACGTGTCTCTCTGTGCGAGTGAGTCTATGTGTCTCGTCTCTGTGCGAGTGAGTCTATGGGTCTCTCTGTGCGAGTGAGTCTATGGGTCTCTACTCTGTGCGAGTGAGTCTATGGGTCTCTCTGTGCAAGTGAGTCTATGGGTCTCTCTGTGCGAGTGAGTCTAAGGGTCTCTTCTCTGTGTGAGTGAGTCTATGGGTCTCTCTCTGTGCGAGTGAGTCTATGGGTCTCTTCTCTGTGCGAGTGAGTCTACGTGTCTCTTCTCTGTGAGAGTGAGTCTACGTGTCTCTCTGTGCGAGTGAGTCTATGTGTCTCGTCTCTGTGCGAGTGAGTCTATGGGTCTCTCTGTGCGAGTGAGTCTATGGGTCTTGTCTCTGTGCGAGTGAGTCTACGTGTCTCTCTCTGTGCGAGTGAGTCTATGGGTCTTGTCTCTGTGCGAGTGAGTCTATGTGTCTCTCTCTGTGCGAGTGAGTCTACGTGTCTCTTCTCTGTGAGAGTGAGTCTACGTGTCTCTCTGTGCGAGTGAGTCTATGTGTCTCGTCTCTGTGCGAGTGAGTCTATGGGTCTCTCTGTGCGAGTGAGTCTATGGGTCTCTACTCTGTGCGAGTGAGTCTATGGGTCTCTCTGTGCAAGTGAGTCTATGGGTCTCTCTGTGCGAGTGAGTCTAAGGGTCTCTTCTCTGTGTGAGTGAGTCTATGGGTCTCTCTCTGTGCGAGTGAGTCTATGGGTCTCTTCTCTGTGCGAGTGAGTCTACGTGTCTCTTCTCTGTGAGAGTGAGTCTACGTGTCTCTCTGTGCGAGTGAGTCTATGTGTCTCGTCTCTGTGCGAGTGAGTCTATGGGTCTCTCTGTGCGAGTGAGTCTATGGGTCTTGTCTCTGTGCGAGTGAGTCTACGTGTCTCTCTCTGTGCGAGTGAGTCTATGGGTCTTGTCTCTGTGCGAGTGAGTCTATGTGTCTCTCTCTGTGCGAGTGAGTCTATGGGTCTTGTCTCTGTGCGAGTGAGTCTATGGGTCTCTCTGTGCGAGTGAGTCTATGTGTCTCGTCTCTGTGCGAGTGAGTCTATGGGTCTCTCTGTGCGAGTGAGTCTATGGGTCTTGTCTCTGTGCGAGTGAGTCTACGTGTCTCTCTCTGTGCGAGTGAGTCTATGGGTCTTGTCTCTGTGCGAGTGAGTCTATGTGTCTCTCTCTGTGCGAGTGAGTCTATGGGTCTTGTCTCTGTGCGAGTGAGTCTATGTCTCTCTCTGTGCGAGTGAGTCTATGTGTCTCTACTCTGTGTGAGTGAGTCTATGTGTCTCTACTGTGTGCGAGTGAGTCTACGGGTCTCTCTCCGTGCGAGTGAGTCTATGGGTCTCGTCTCTGTGCCCCCACCTTGCTGTAGGCCAGCCGCGTGAAGGCCCTCTTGGCGGCGTCGGGCCCCAAGAACTCGGCCAGCGCCGTGAGGCCGCGGGGGGGCAGCAGGAGGCGCGAGAGGCCCCCGGGCCCCGCGGCGCGGCCCAGCAGGGCCCCCAGGGCACGGTGCCGCGCGTCCCCACCCGCCCCCCCACCCCCACCGCCACCCCCACCGCCACCGCCACCGCCGGCGTCGTCGTCGTCTTCGTCGTCGTCGTCGTCTCCACCGCCCGCGACGATGGCGTGGAGGTCGTCGCGCGTGAAGTCCGCGCTGGCCGGGAGGTTTTTGATGAGGAAGACGCGGTCGCTCCGTGACGAGGTGGGCTACACGGGGTGGGTGGGGGAGGGAAGGGAACCACCATCATCACCTCGTTCACATCGTCTTCATCCATTTGCAATTGACGATGGCCGTGTGGGTGGGTTCACGATGGCCGTGTGGGTGGTGTGGGCGGTGTGGGTGGGTTCACAATGGCCGTGTGGGTGGTGTGGGCGGTGTGGGTGGGTTCACGATGGCCGTGTGGGCCGTGTGGGTGGGTTCACGATGGCCTTGTGGGTAGTGTGGGTGGGTTCACGATGGCCGTGTGGGTGGTGTGGGTGGTGTGGGTGGGTTCACGATGGCCGTGTGGGTGGTGTGGGTGGTGTGGGCGGTGTGGGTGGTGTGGGCGGTGTGGGTGGGTTCACGATGGCCTTGTGGGTGGTGTGGGCGGTGTGGGTGGGTTCACGATGGCCGTGTGGGAATGTAGGCGGTGTGGGTGGGTTCACGATGGCCATGTGGGCCGTGTGGGTGGGTTCACGATGGCCTTGTGGGTGGTGTGGGTGGGTTCACGATGGCCGTGTGGGTGGGTTCACGATGGCCGTGTGGGCCGTGTGGGTGGGTTCACGATGGCCTTGTGGGTGGTGTGGGTGGGTTCACGATGGCCTTGTGGGTGGTGTGGGCCTTGTGGCTGGGTTCACGATGGCCGTGTGGGAATGTGGGCCGTGTGGGTGGGTTCACGATGGCCGTGTGGGTGGGTTCACGATGGCCGTGTGGGTGGTGTGGGTGGGTTCACGATGGCCTTGTGGGCGGTGTGGGCCGTGTGGGTGGGTTCACGATGGCCGTTGTGGGGCCCTCACCTGGCCGAACGCGTTGAGCTGGACTCCGGCCTCCTCGAGGAAGCGCCGCGTCTCCGTGACGATCTCCGCCTCCCCCAGGGCCAGCCGCACCGCCGCACTGCCCTCCGTCTCCTGGGCAACCGGCGGGGAGCGGAGGACCGTGGAGCCAGGAGCACACGGCGACGCACACACACAGCGACAAAGAATGAAGACTCGCCCCCCCCCCCCCGTATATCCTACACAGGCTGTTGGGGCAAGTGCTGTTAGCGAGCAGCACCTGTGAAGGACGACACAGCACGCATCCAAGGGGTATGAAATGGGAGGCTAGCACCACGCCTGGCCGCCTTTGTCTCCCGAAATTAAGACGTTTAAACACCGCACCGGGTACCCGTATGAGGCCGAGTCGACCTAGGGGAAGCCCAGCACTGGTTCAGATAATCATCACCGACGCACACAAAGACAAAGATCCCCCCGCACACAAAGACAAAGATCCCCCCGCATAGGCCTTAACAAACGTTTGGGGCAAGGGGTGGCTGGCCAGCACCACGCCCGGCCACCTTTGTCTTCCTAGGGGCGATGTTCACTACACACCGCACCAGGTACTCCTTTGAGGCTACGGGAGGCCCAGGACCGATTCAGATAATCGTCACTGGTGTAGGCCGTGAGCGGGAATCGAACTCGGATCGCCAGGTTCGTAGCGCAGCGTAGCGCTAAACGCTACACCACCACTCCCCACGACACTGACACACACTGACACAAAAGACAAAGATCCCACGTATAGCCTTCAGAGACTGTAGAGGCAAGTGCTGTCAGCGAGCACCTATGAAGGCCGGAACGCCACACGAGGGGGTGGGTGGCCAGCACCACGCCCGACCGTCTTTGTCTCCCCAGCGGTGATGTTTTTACACGCCGCAACAGGTACTCATTGAGGCTGAGTCGACCTAGGGGAGGCCCAGGACCGGTTCAGATAATCGTCACTGGTGTAGGCCGTGAGTGGGAATTGAACTCGGGCCGCCAGGTCCGTAGCGCAGTGCGCTAAACGCTACACCACCGCTCCCCACGACACTGACACACACCGACACACACACACAGACACACATGCACACACAGACACACATGCACACACAGGCACACATGCACACACAGACACACAGACACACACACACACACAGACACGCACACAGACACACACACACACAGACACACACACACAGAGACACGCACACAGACACACACACACACAGGACACACACACACACAGACACACACACACAGACACACACAGACACACACATGCACACAGACACACAGACACGCACACACACACAGAGACACTCACGTGGTCCAGCACGCGCCTCTTGCTGGTGCCGTAAGCGGTGGCCATGGCGTCTGCCACTGCGTTGATGCCCAGGAACAGAGCGTTCCAGTTGTGGGAGCTGAGAGAGACACGGAACCCCACCCTCGTCATCATCGGCGTCGTCATTGTCGCCACCACCTCGTCACCATCATCATAATCAGAATCATCGCCATCATCATCACCACGACCACCTCGTCGTCGACGTCGTCGACGCAACACCTTGTGGACGTCACCATCATCATCACAACCATCACAATATTCACCGTCACCATCATCACAACCACCTTCATCAGCATCTTCACAACCAACAAGAGCATTGAAATCATCGCTTCCCTGACTCCGCAATCGGGTTCATCAATGTCTTCATGATGATGGCGATGATCGAATGATGATGATGATAACGATAGCACGGCGCTCAAGATACTGATGAGGTTAGTTGAATGACGACTGCGATATCGATGGCGATGGTGACGATGGCAGCGACGATGGCGATGACGATGCGACTGTCACCTTGCTTTGTCGCGCTTCTCCTTGTCGCGTTTGTACGAGGAGGTGGACGAGGTGGGGCCCACCTCCTCACCCTCCTCCTCCTTCCTCACCATCGCGGGCAGCACATGCAGCATGCGACCCTGACAGACGCACACCGCGCTCACTCTTCACCACGTAACAAGACAAGGATCCCGAGCGGTGGAGCCCACGCAGATTGTAAACGTTGCGGATTGACTCTCCAACACGCACTAAGCGGTGTGCTGTGCTAGTAACGAATTGGCCACGTTCTTGTTCACGTGACAACCCTTACTAGTTGGCTGTGTCGGGTGGTGGCGGGTTTAACGACACAACATTTATATATCTACGCGATCAAGCCCCAAAAATTAACCTCTATTATGGACTACACAGGCTGTTGGGGCAAGTGCTGTGAGCGAGCAGCACCTATGAAGGCCGATACGGCACACAAGGGGGTGGGTGGCCAGCACCACCCCCGGCCGCCTTTGTCTCCCTAGTGGCGATGTTTACTACACACCGCCGCACCAGGTGCTCACTTGAGTACCTGTTTACAGGACCGGTTCAGATAATCGTCATCGGTGTTGGTGGTAGCTGAGCGGGAATCCAACTCAGATCGCCGGGTTCGTAGCGCAGCGAGCTAACCACTACACCACCGCTCATACTCAACAACAACCGCCATTCGCCACTAAGTAGCGGAGACGTCACCGCTTGTGCCAGGCTATGTGCACTTCACACGCGCACGGTACACACACGCGCTCAGTCCACACACACGCACAGTACACACACGCTCAGTACACACACACGCACAGTACACACACACACAGTACACACACACACACAGTACACACACGCACAGTACACACACGCACAGTACACACACACGCACACAGTACACACACGCGCACAGTACACACACGCGCACAGTACACACACGCACAGTACACACACGCTCAGTACACACACGCACACAGTACACACACGCACACAGTACACACACGCGCACAGTACACACACACACACAGTACACACACGCACAGTACACACACGTGCACAGTACACACGCGCACAGTACACACACGCACAGTACACACACACACAGTACACACACGCACAGTACACACACGTGCACAGTACACACGCGCACAGTACACACACGCACAGTACACACACGCACAGTACACACACGCACAGTACACACACACACAGTACACACACGCACAGTACACACACGCGCACAGTACACACACACACAGTACACACACGCACAGTGCACACACGCGCACAGTACACACACGCACAGTACACACACGCGCACAGTACACACGCGCACAGTACACACACACACAGTACACACACGCACAGTACACACACGCACAGTACACACACGCTCAGTACACACACACACAGTACACACACGCACAGTACACACACACACAGTACACACACGCACAGTACACACACACACAGTACACACACGCACAGTACACACACGCGCACAGTACACACACACACAGTACACACACGCACAGTACACACACGCGCACAGTACACACACGCACAGTACACACACGCGCACAGTACACACGCGCACAGTACACACACGCACAGTACACACACACACAGTACACACACGCACAGTACACACACGCGCACAGTACACACACACACAGTACACACACGCACAGTACACACACGTGCACAGTACACACACGCACAGTACACACACACGCACAGTACACACACACGCACAGTACACGCACAGTACACACACGCGCACAGTACACACGCGCGCACAGTACACACACGCGCACAGTACACACACGCACACAGTACACACACACACACAGTACACACACACACAGTACACACACGCGCACAGTACACACACACTCAGTACACACACACACAGTACACACACACACACAGTACACACACACACAGTACACACCCGCACAGTACACACACGCACAGTACACACACGTGCACAGTACACACACGCTCAGTACACACACGCTCAGTACACACACGCGCACAGTACACACACGCGCACAGTACACACACACTCAGTACACACACACACAGTACACACACACACAGTACACACACGTGCACAGTACACACACGCTCAGTACACACACGCACACAGTACACACACACACACAGTACACACACACGCACAGTACACACACACACACACAGTACACACACACACACAGTACACACACGCGCACAGTACACACACGCACAGTACACACACGCACAGTACACACACACACACAGTACACACACAGTACACACACGTGCACAGTACACACACGCACAGTACACACACACGCACAGTACACACACACACGCACAGTACACACACGCACAGTACACACACGCTCAGTACACACACACACAGTACACACACGCACAGTACACACACACACAGTACACACACGCACAGTACACACACACACAGTACACACACGCACAGTACACACACGCGCACAGTACACACACACACAGTACACACACGCACAGTACACACACGCGCACAGTACACACACGCACAGTACACACACGCGCACAGTACACATGCGCACAGTACACACACGCACAGTACACACACACACAGTACACACACGCACAGTACACACACGCGCACAGTACACACACACACACAGTACACACACGCACAGTACACACACGTGCACAGTACACACACGCACAGTACACACACACGCACAGTACACACACACGCACAATACACGCACAGTACACACACGCGCACAGTACACACGCGCGCACAGTACACACACGCGCACAGTACACACACGCACACAGTACACACACACACACAGTACACACACACACAGTACACACACGCGCACAGTACACACACACTCAGTACACACACACACAGTACACACACACACAGTACACACACACACAGTACACACCCGCACAGTACACACACGCACAGTACACACACGTGCACAGTACACACGTGCACAGTACACACACGCTCAGTACACACACGCTCAGTACACACACGCGCACAGTACACACACGCGCACAGTACACACACACTCAGTACACACACACACAGTACACACACACACAGTACACACACGTGCACAGTACACACACGCTCAGTACACACACGCACACAGTACACACACACGCACACAGTACACACACACGCACAGTACACACACGTGCACAGTACACACACGTGCACAGTACACACACACACAGTACACACACACACACAGTACACACACACACACAGTACACACACGCGCACAGTACACACACGCACAGTACACACACGCACAGTACACACACACACACAGTACACACACACGTGCACAGTACACACACGTGCACAGTACACACACGCACAGTACACACACACGCACAGTACACGCACAGTACACACACACACACAGTACACACACGCGCACAGTACACACACACACACACAGTACACACACACACACAGTACACACACACACACACAGTACACACACAGTACACACACACACGCACACAGTAGACACACACACACAGTACACACACGCGCACAGTACACACACACACACAGTACACACACAGTACACACACACACGCACACAGTACACACACACAGTACACACACGCGCACAGTACACACACACACACAGTACACACACACACACAGTACACACACAGTACACACACAGTACACACACACACGCACACAGTACACACACACACACAGTACACACACACAGTACACACACACACACAGTACACACACACACACACAGTACACACACACACACAGTACACACACACACACAGTACACACACACACACAGTACACACACACACACTACACACACACACACACAGTACACACACGCACAGTACACACACGCGCACAGTACACACACGCACAGTACACACACGCGCACAGTACACATGCGCACAGTACACACACGCACAGTACACACACACACAGTACACACACGCACAGTACACACACGCGCACAGTACACACACACACACAGTACACACACGCACAGTACACACACGTGCACAGTACACACACGCACAGTACACACACACGCACAGTACACACACACGCACAGTACACGCACAGTACACACGCGCGCACAGTACACACACGCGCACAGTACACACACGCACACAGTACACACACGCACACAGTACACACACACACAGTACACACACGCGCACAGTACACACACACTCAGTACACACACACACAGTACACACACACACACAGTACACACACACACAGTACACACCCGCACAGTACACACACGCACAGTACACACACGTGCACAGTACACACACGCTCAGTACACACACGCTCAGTACACACACGCGCACAGTACACACACGTGCACAGTACACACACACTCAGTACACACACACACAGTACACACACACACAGCACACACACGTGCACAGTACACACACGCTCAGTACACACACGCACACAGTACACACACACACACACACAGTACACACACACGCACAGTACACACACGTGCACAGTACACACACACACAGTACACACACACACACACAGTACACACACACACACAGTACACACACGCGCACAGTACACACACGCACAGTACACACACGCACAGTACACACACACACACAGTACACACACACAGTACACACACACACACAGTACACACACGTGCACAGTACACACACGCACAGTACACACACACGCACAGTACACACACACGCACAGTACACACACACACGCACAGTACACGCACAGTACACACACACACACAGTACACACACGCGCACAGTACACACACACACACACAGTACACATACACACAGTACACACACACACACAGTACACACACAGTACACACACACACGCACACAGTAGACACACACACACAGTACACACACGCGCACAGTACACACACACAGTACACACACAGTACACACACACGCACACAGTACACACACACAGTACACACACGCGCACAGTACACACACACACACAGTACACACACACACACAGTACACACACAGTACACACACAGTACACACACACACGCACACAGTAGACACACACACACAGTACACACACGCGCACAGTACACACACACAGTACACACACAGTACACACACACACGCACACAGTACACACACACAGTACACACGCGCACAGTACACACACACACACAGTACACACACACACACAGTACACACACAGTACACACACAGTACACACACACACGCACACAGTACACACACACACACAGTACACACACACACACAGTACACACACACACACAGTACACACACACACACACACAGTACACACACACACACAGTACACACACACACACACTACACACACACACAGTACACACACAGTACACACACGCGCACGCTGGCCCCCGTGGCCGCTCCGTCGCTCCGCCGCTCCGCCGCTCCGTCTCCGCGGGGGTGACCCACCTGGAAGATGGAGCCGTCGAGCAGAGCGAGGGCACGTACGGCGTCCTCGCTCTGCACAAACCCAACAAACGCGAAGCCCTTGGGGCGGCCGGACATCGTGTCCAGGGGAAAACGAACATCCGACAGGGGCCCTGGGGGGCAACACGGTGGGGGGGGGTGGGGGGGGGGGGGGGGTGGGGGGTGGAGAGGTCACAGGGCAGCCAGTGGGAGCACTCCTCCCCCCACTCCCCCCCCATAACCCCCCCCCCCCACCAGTCCCCCCACCAGTCCCCCCACCAGTCCCCCCACCAGTCCCCCCACCAGTCCCCCCACCAGTCCCCCCACCGTGTTTGCTGAACAGCTGTTCCACGTCGTGCTGGCTGCAGGTGTAGGGCAGGTTCCTCACAAAGAGCCGCCCGGTGTCGCCCACATCGGGGGCGGGGAGACCATCCTCTGGGGGGCCGGGGAGGCCCCGGGGGGTGGGGGCACCCGGTGGGGGGGGCTTGCCCCCCGGTCTCGTGTCACGTGCCACCTCAATGTAGCGCTCGCCTGGGGGGGGGGGGGGGGGCGGGAGGGGGGGGGGGGGGTCATGTGATCGTGGGGTCACGGGGTCGCGTCATGGCATTACACGTGCCGGGATGTCACGTGACCCCCATCATGTGTGTGTGCATGTGTGTTGTACAGTGTGTGCGTGTGTGTTGTACAGTGTGTGCGTGTGTGTTGTACAGTGTGTGCGTGTGTGTTGTACAGTGTGTGTGTGTGTTGTACAGTGTGTGCGTGTGTGTTGTACAGTGTGTGCGTGTGTGTTGTACAGTGTGTGCGTGTGTGTTGTACAGTGTGTGCATGTGTGTTGTACAGTGTGTGCGTGTGTGTTGTACAGTGTGTGCATGTGTGTTGTACAGTGTGTGCGTGTGTGTTGTACAGTGTGTGCGTGTGTGTTGTACAGTGTGTGCGTGTGTGTTGTACAGTGTGTGCGTGTGTGTTGTACAGTGTGTGCGTGTGTGTTGTACAGTGTGTGCGTGTCAGGGAAAACAACCCCCTACCTCCTCGCGGTGCCGGACGGGCAACTCTGTCGTGGACAGTGCTGCGGGGGGAGGAGCCAATTCCGATTGGCTCCTCCCCTCATGGCGTCTGTGACCACCACAGGGGCTAAACGGGGGCTCTGGACGGGTGCGAGGGGCTGGTAACCCCTCCGACACACCTGATGACGACCGTTTGTGTTATGGTCGAAACGTCGTGAGAATTTTTATTGTTTTTATATATATTTTATTATTTTATTGTTTCCCTTCAACGTGACTTTACCGAAAGGGCTAAGAATATGAATTACTGCAGTCACGAAAGCTTTAAATCAAAATTTAACCCCTCCACCTTCAAAAAATTACCACGAAACTACGACTTAAATATGTAACTAATAAGCTTGTGCCGGAGGCCCCGGGGGGACAGGCGTCTATGACGTCTCCTGGCCAGACCCCAATTGGCGGAGCCAGAAGATTGAATATCTACCCTCGGGGCTCCTCCAGAAACAACGAAAAGCCACTTCTCGTTTGGCCACGTGGAATGTTCGAACGCTCACTGCGGAGGAGAGGCTGCCACTCCTCTGTCAGGAGCTGGACCGGTACCGCCTGGATCTCTGTGGCATTCAGGAGGTCCGGTGGACCAGTTTTGGCTCCTGCTACCACGAGGGGTGGACAAGTCCTCTACTCGGGGCAGCAGACTGCCAAACAACAGGGTGTGGCTCTTCTTTTGAACAAAAGAATGAAGGGGGCGTGGGAGCTTGGCGGTGAGGTGTGGGAAGCTGTAAGCCCCCGGCTACTTTGGGCTCGCCTTCCCATCAATCGGAGGCGAGGATTAGTGGTCGTGGTTACTTATGCCCCCACCGAAGACGAACATCCGTGGAGGGATGCAGGCAAAGCCGATGAGTCAGATGACTTCTATCACCTCCTGTCACAGGTGCTGGCTAAAGTGGCCCCTCGGGATAGAGTCATCTTGTTGGGTGACTTCAATGCCGGAGTTGGTCATGATGCTGGTCTGGAGTGATTGGAGGGCATGGGCCGGATCAGCTGAAAAACAACGGTAGGAGGCTGCTAGATTTTTGTGCAGCCCATGGGCTTGTAATTACCAACACGCTGTTCCGGCATTGACGCATCCACACAACATCATTAATGCATGCCGGGTCCAAGCAAGAACATCTGCTGGACTACATAGTGACGGACCAGCAGATGCGAGCCCATGTCCTTGACACCAGGACCTACCGTGGAGCTGATCTGCCCTCTGACCATCGACTTGTCATCTGTAAGATGCGCCTGCCATTCTTCCACTCCGGTGGTGGGTGTACACCCAGGACCCCATTCCAACCTAAAGTGGCCTGGTCTCAGTTATCTGATGAAAGTTGCAAGCGATAATTTCATCATCGCTTGCGGCTGGGATTGGCATCGTCCCCCACTCCTCCTGATGTCGAGGGTAAATGGGCGAGGTTTAGGACTGTGACTCATGCAGCTGCAATGGCTGCTTTGGGTACGCGGTCCGGACCTCCCCAGAGACCCTGGCTGACAGAGGAGGTGTTCAGGATGGTTGAGAAAAAGCGACAGGCCCACTGTCAGCGGCTACAGAATCCCACATGAGAGAATGAGGAGGCTTACCGCAGCCTTCGCTCGGAGGTTCGGAGAGCCGTGAGGCGCTGCAAGGATGGGTGGTGGTCGCGGGTTGCTCAGGAGATGGAGTCTGCCTCAGTGGCCCACGATCACAAATCTTTATTTAACTCCATCAAAAAAGTAACCTGCAGCGCCACACCTATTACCATTATTAGGGGAAAAAACGGTGATCCAATCTCCGACCCCCAGGAACAGGTTTGCAGATTTGCTGAGCATTTCTGTGAGGTCCTGGGGGAGGAAAAATCCCTCAGCCAGGAAAACATCGTGGCACAAAGTGAGGATGACCCTGCTGAGGCTGCGGTGCCTCAAATATTGGAAGAAGTCACCCCCTGTGAGTGCCTGGCTGAGGTGCCATCTGTTGAGGAAGTACTGAAGGCGATCCAGAGTCTGAGACCAGGAAAGGCAGCGGGCAGAGATGATCTCCCAAGCGAAATGCTGAGGGAGGGTGGTGTTTGTGCACAGACTGCCCTATATGACATCATAACAACAGTCTGGCCCACTGGACGGGTTCCACAGGATTGGAAGAATGCCCTGGTGGTCCCCCTCTTTAAGAAGGGGGACCGCACAGACTGTAACAACTACAGGGGCATCTCACTCCTCAGCGTGCGGGGAAAGGTCCTGCCAAGGATTATTCAACATCGCCTTGCCAGGCACGCTGAGGAGAGGCTTGCGGAGCCCCAATGCAGTTTCAGGAAAGGGCGGTCCTGCACAGATGCCATATTTTCTGTCCATCTGCTACAGCAGAGGTGTAGGGAATTCCAGTAGAACCTACATCTTTGCTTTATTGAACTGGTCAAGGCCTATGATACCATCAGTAGGCCTGGGCTCTGGGTTGTTCTTCGTGCTTTTGGAGTCCCTGACCCTCTACTTACGATCATTAAGGACCTTCATGATGGTGAGCGGGCCCGGGTAAAACTACGTGGCCGGGAGTCCGAGCCATTCCCTCTACACCTTGGGGTGCGACAGGGATGTCCCCTGGCTCCCACATTATTTAACATCTATTTTGACCACGTAGTTCGTGAAGCCTTCAATATCTGTACCGGGGGAATCTCCATATGGTACAGATATAATGGGAGGCTGATCGATGCCTGGGTGCGGTCAAGGGATGGCTCCCTATTGCTCAACCACGTTATGTATGCCGATGATTTGGAAATAGCTGCTTATTCAGAGGAGGAGTTGGAGACGCTGCTGTTGAGACTGGAGCGTGCCACTAAGAGATGGGGCCTTACCATCAGCCCCACCAAAACTAAGCACCTGCCTGGGTATTTCGTACCATCGGACACTCCACCCCCACAACTCCCAATCGGTGATGGGGCAGTTGTGGAGAGAGTGGAGAGTTTCCCACACCTGGGCAGTGTGCTTATGACCAGCTCCAGTTTAACAGCAGAGGTCTCACTCCGAATCAGTCGAGCGGCAATATCTTTTCATCGGTTGCATAACGCTGTGTGGAAGCCACCTGGTCTGTCGCTCCGCACCAAGCTTCAGGTCTTCTCTGCCACGGTCATTCCCTCCCTTCTCTACGCTTGCAAAACGTGGACCCCCCTATTGGAACATCTTCACCGGTTAGAAACATTTAGGCTAGCCTGCCTACGATCCATCCTGGGTTTAACCAGGCTGGATTGTGTGAGGAGCTCACAAATCCTTGAAAGATTTGGGCAAGGTCCCATCGGTGAGCTCCTCCGGCAGGCAAGGCTGCGTTGGCTGGGTCATGTAGCCCGCATGCCCAGCCACCGCATGCCGAAACAGCTTTTGTTCGGCCGGATCGAGGGGGCTAAACGGGCGCGGTACGGGCTAGAGAAGAGATGGAGTGATGTGGTACAGAAGGACGTGGAGCTGAGTGGACTTGCCGATGACTGGTACCAGCGGTGTCAAGATCGGCCTCTGTGGAGGAGGCTCGTGAAGGACGCTCCTGGGCAGTTGGAGGCAGTCGCCCTCCAACAACAACGGAGGGCGGAGGAGCGACACTCACAACAACGAGCGGAGCGCCGGGTGGCTAAAGCACAGCGAGTAGGCACAGTAGGGGGCACAGGTGGTGCACCAGCCAGTCATCTCAGTCAGTCGACCCGTGGCACCTGGGTCTGCCCCGTGACCTCCTGCCAGCGGGCGTTCGACACTTCACGTGGCCTCAAGGTGCACATGGCCTGGCACAAGCGTCGTGGTGACGTCACCGCCACTTACTGGCGAATGGCGGTTGTTGTTGTACAGTGTGTGCGTACCCATGTAGTCCTTGTTGCGCTTTAGAGCCTTGCGGAGGTCCGCCTCAGACTTGAAATCGACAAACACGTAGCCTGAACACACGCACAGCAGCACCTATAAACAGGTAGCCTGAACACACGCACAGCAGCACCTATAAGCACGTAGCCTGAACACACACACAGCAGCACCTGTGACAAACACGAAGCCTGAACACACACACAGCAGCAGCTATAAACACGTAGCCTGAACACACGCACAGCAGCACCTATAAACACGAAGCCTGAACACACGCACAGCAGCTATAAACACGTAGCCTGAACACACACACAGCAGCTATAAACAAACACGTAGCCTGAACACACACACAGCAGCACCTATAAACACGAAGCCTGAACACACACACAGCAGCACCTATAAACACGTAGCCTGAACACACGCACAGCAGCACCTATAAACACGAAGCCTGAACACACGCACAGCATCACCTATAAACACGAAGCCTGAACACACGCACAGCATCACCTATAAACACGAAGCCTGAACACACTCACAGCAGCACCTATAAACACGTAGCCTGAACACACACACAGCAGCACCTATAAACACGAAGCCTGAACACACTCACAGCAGCACCTATAAACACGTAGCCTGAACACACACACAGCAGCACCTATAAACACGTAGCCTGAACACACACACAGCAGCACCTATAAACACGTAGCCTGAACACACGCACAGCAGCACCTATAAACACGAAGCCTGAACACACACACAGCAGCACCTATAAACACGTAGCCTGAACACACGCACAGCAGCACCTATAAACACGTAGCCTGAACACACGCACAGCAGCACCTATAAACACGAAGCCTGAACACACGCACAGCATCACCTATAAACACGAAGCCTGAACACACGCACAGCATCACCTATAAACACGAAGCCTGAACACACGCACAGCAGCACCTATAAACACGTAGCCTGAACACACGCACAGCAGCACCTATAAACACGTAGCCTGAACACACGCACAGCAGCACCTATAAACACGAAGCCTGAACACACGCACAGCATCACCTATAAACACGTAGCCTGAACACACGCACAGCAGCACCTATAAACACGTAGCCTGAACACACGCACAGCAGCACCTATAAACACGTAGCCTGAACACACGCACAGCAGCACCTGTGACAAACACGTAGCCTGAACACACACACAGCAGCACCTATAAACACGTAGCCTGAACACACGCACAGCAGCACCTATAAACACGTAGCCTGAACACACGCACAGCAGCACCTATAAACACGTAGCCTGAACACACGCACAGCAGCACCTATAAACACGTAGCCTGAACACACGCACAGCAGCACCTGTGACAACACGTAGCCTGAACACACACACAGCAGCACCTATAAACACGTAGCCTGAACACATGCACAGCAGCACCTATAAACAAACACGTAGCCTGAACACACACACAGCAGCTATAAACAAACACGTAGCCTGAACACACTCACAGCATCACCTGTGACAAACACGTAGACTGAACACACTCACAGCATCACCTATAAACAAACACGTAGCCTGAACACTCACAGCAGCACCTATAAACACGAAGCCTGAACACACGCACAGCAGCACCTATAAACACGTAGCCTGAACACACGCACAGCAGCACCTGTGACAAACACGTAGCCTGAACACACGCACGGCAGCGCCTATAAATAAACACGTAGCCTGAACACACTCACAGCAGCACCTATAAACACGTAGCCTGAACACACACACGGCATCACCTGTGACAAACACGTAGCCTGAACACACGCACGGCAGCACCTATAAATAAACACGTAGCCTGAACACACGCACGGCAGCACCTATAAACACGTAGCCTGAACACACGCACGGCAGCACCTATAAACAAACACGTAGCCTGAACACACGCACAGCAGCGCCTGTGAAGACCGGCACGGCACACAATATGCGAGACAGTGTGTACAGTGGGGTGCAGTGGTGGTGTGCAGTGGTGGTGTACAGTGGCGGTGTACAGTGGCGGTGTACAGTGGTGGTGTGCAGTGGTGGTGTACAGTGGTGTACAGTGGCGGTGTTGTACAGTGATGGTGTACAGCGGTGGTGTGCAGGACAGTACCCGTGCGGGAGCCATGTTTGGTGGTGACGATACGCACGGACTCCGGGCGCAGAGGCAGAAAGAACTCGCGAATGCGATCCTGCAATCAGAACCACACGATCGCCATCGTCGTCGTCATAATCGTCGTCTTCATCAATATTATCTTTAACATCATCTACATTACAAGCTAAACCATCATCATCATCAACATCATCTACAAACATAAACATCATTAACATCACAAATATCAACAAAATTAACTCCATCAAACACACCATCACCGCCGGTCACACACATCCCCCGTGTAGCCTTAACAGACTGTAGGGGCAAGTGCTGTTAGCGAGCACCAGTGAAGGCCGGCACGGCACACGAGGGGGTGGGTGGCCAGCACCACGCCCGACCGTCTTTGTCTCCCCAGTGGCGATGTTTACACACCGCACCAGGTACTCATTTGAGGCCGAGTCGACCTAGGGGAGGCCCAGGGCCAGTTCAGATAATCGTCACTGGTGTTGGCCGTGAGCGGGAATCGAACCCGGGTCGCCAGGTTCGTAGCGCAGCGCAAACCACTACGTCACACACACGTCGTCACACCTGGTCACACACGTCGTCACACACACACGTCGTCACACACGTCGTCACCACTGGTCACACACGTCGTCACACACACACACCGTCACACACGTCGTCACACACACCGTCACACACGTCGTCACACATGTCGTCACACACACCGTCACACACGTCGTCACACATGTCGTCACACACACATCGTCACACCTGGTCACACACACATCGTCACACACGTCGTCACACACACACACGTCGTCACACACACCGTCACACATCCTCACCTCTTTGACGTTGAAAGGGACCCCGCGTAGCTTTGCTGTGAAAACGACTTTCGGCTCGGACACCTCTTCAGTGACTTTCTGCAGGACACATCATCAACATCACCACCATCATCACCATCACGGACATCGTCGTCAGCCTCGCAACCACCACCATTAATATTGTCATGCTCAGATAAGCACGGGTGCCTACGTACGGTGCGAAAGAAGCTCAACGCGCATGATCATCGCCCTCATCGACATCGACGTCATCGCCATCATCACTTATGCGCGAGGTTGTGGACGGGGTATGGGGGTGACCGTGACGGTGAAGTATGGCCGATCCGTACTCCTCACCCCTCGTCGTCGCCGCCGTTGCTGCTTCACCTTGTCGGCCCGGGCCCCTCCCTCCCCGCCCGTCTCGTAATCGCTGTCCGACTTCCTCGCTCCACCGCCACCTCCTTCTCCACCGTCACCACTGCAAGCGCAGCACAGCAGCAGTGTAGGCGCAGCGGGCCGCCCTGGTTAATGCTGGCGCGTGCGTTACCCATAAACACACGCATGGCGATTACAGGACTCGCTCATTCTCGGAGGGAGGGAGGGAGGGAGGGAGGGAGGGAGGGGGAGGGAGGGAGGGAGGGAGGGAGGGAGGGAGGGAGGGAGGGAGGGAGGGAGGGAGGGAGGGAGGGAGGGAGGGAGGGAGGGAGGGAGGGAGGGAGGGAGGGAGGGAGGGCACAATGATCACGCGTATCAATAAACTATTTTTACGTTAGCAGGTAAAGGGGCAATAATAAACACATTCCTGCGGAGGGAGCTGGTAGGAACGTTGGACTGCTCGGTCAGTGGTCAGGGTCAACGGCACCACCACCACGTGGTGTGTTCAGCACAATGTGCCCGACTGTGAGGGCGGGCACAAGCCGGCGTGAGTAGGTGAAACGTTGAGTTTTATAAGGGGGGCACCACGGGGTGATCAGCCCCTCCACACCCAGCCCCTCCCCACCCAGCCCAACCCCCCAACCCCTCCCACCCCCCCACCCCTCCCACCCCCCCACCCAGCCCCTCCCCACCCTCCCCACCAAGCCCCTCCCTACCCTCCCCTCTCCACCCAGCCCCACCCCTCCCACGTGGACAGACATCCACAGACAAACACAATTAACCCCCTGCCTCCTGTGAATGAATCCCGGTTGGCCTTCCAGTCCACTGCGTTTCCCACTGCCAGTATGATGACAACGTAACCGTGGCGACGCGAGTCTTGCCATAGGACGACTCCCACGGCACGCGTGGCCTGACCCTCAAGGGCCCCGCCCCCCCCCCCCCCCCCCGACTCCCCCACGGTGTCACCGCTCACCGCGACACAACCACGCTCCTTACCCCTCCTCCTCCTCCACCTCCTCCTCCTCCTCGCCGTGACCGCCGTCATCGCCGTCGTCGTCGTCGTCGTCGCTGCCGAGGGCCTTGACCACCTTCGTTCGGAGGTACTCCAGGTCGGAGAGCTGCTTCATGTTGGCGGGTTTCACTTCTGCACAACGTCGGCACGCGGCCATACAAAGTCGCCCTCTCTGTTCCCATTGGGCCAGATCGCGTGACTAGAAACGCGTCGATCTCACTCAGAAAAAAAAACCTTCACCGTGAAATGACAACGCTCGCGAAAGGCTACGTGGTGTTCCCATCGGCATCGCCGCCACAGCCAAAGACAAAATGCCGGGGGCAAGCGCCGCCGCTAGCGAGCAGCACCCATGAAGGCCGGCACGGCACCACGAGGGGGTGGGCGGCCAGCACCACGCCCGGCCGCCTTTGTCTCCCCAGCGGCGATGTTTACTACACACCGCACCAGGTGCTCGTTTGAGGCCGAGTCGACCTAGGGGAGGCCCGGGAGTGGTTCCGATAACCGTCACCCGGTGTTTGGTGGACGTGAGCGGTTTGGTAGCGGCAGCGTGGCGCTAACCGCCACGCTGCCGCTCCCCCACGCACACTCGCACTTAGAATCCTCACACACAACAAAGCATCGTTCGCCACGCTCAGTACACCACCACACGATCACCTCCTCACCTTCCTTCCTTGCCTTTCCGCCATCATCGCCGTCATCGCCGTCGTCGCCGTCGTCGCCGTCGTCATCGTCGTCAAAGTTCAGGTAGTCAGCCTTGGCTCCGGTCGTCTCTCTCTGCACGCGCGTTGCTCCGCCAGGTTTGCCCGCCGCCGAACGTTTGGGTCTTGATTTGGCCTTGCCGCCGTCATCGGCGTCGTCATCGGCGTCGCCAACGCCCTTCTTGGCCGCGGGGTGGCGACCAAGCGTACAATCGTCGTTGCCCCAGAAGGTGGACTCGGCGCGGTTGACGTGAGCCTCCAGGAACTCGGAGAATCCGGAGTCCGTCTGCACCTGTGCACTCGCACGCACGGAAGAAGATTGAGACAAAGGCCCCCCCCACCCCCCCCCCCGCCCCCCAAGTGAGTAACACCTCCGAAGGCCGGCAAGACGCGCGAGGTGGGTGGCGAACACCACACCCGGCCGCCTTTGTCTCCCCAGCGCTGATGTTTGATACACACAGCACCAGCTACTCATTTAAGGCCGAGTCTACCTAGGGGAGGGAGGTCCACAACCGGTTCGGATGAATCGTCACTGGTGTTGGCTGTGAGCGGCAATCTAGCTCGGGTGGCCGGGAAAGCAGCGCAGTGCGCTAACCATTGCACCACCGCTCCCCATACACACGCGTACACACACAGAGGTATTGTCATACAGGTGTGCTATACATGTGCGCGCTACACAGTTGTGACTACACGCTGTGCGAGTGAGTGCACGCTGTGTGAGTGAGTGCACGCTGTGTCAGTGAGTGCACGCTGTGTGAGTGAGTGCACGCTGTGTGAGTGAGTGCACGCAGAGTGAGTGCACGCTGTGTGATTGAGTGCACGCTGTGTGAGTGAGTGGGTGCATGCTGTGTGAGTGAGTGCACGCTGTGTGAGTGAGTGGGTGCATGCTGTGTGAGTGAGTGCACGCTGTGTGAGTGAGTACACGCTGTGTGAGTGAGTGCACGCTGTGAGTGCACGCTGAGTGAGTGCACGCTGTGTGAGTGAGTGCACGCTGTGCGAGTGAGTGCACGCTGTGTGAGTGAGTGGGTGAGTGCGCGCTGTGTGAGTGCACGCTGTGTGAGTGAGTGCACGCTGTGTGAGTGAGTGCACGCTGTGTGAGTGAGTGCACGCTGTGTGAGTGGGTGCACACTGTGTGAGTGGGTGCACGCTGTGTGAGTGAGTGCACGCTGTGTGAGTGAGTGCACGCTGTGTGAGTGAGTGCACGCTGTGTGAGTGAGTGCACGCTGTGTGAGTGAGTGCACGCTGTGTGAATGAGTACACGCTGTGTGAGTGGGTGCATGCTGTTGTGAGTGAGTGCACGCTGTGTGAGTGCATGCTGTGTGAGTGAGTGCACGCTGTGTGAGTGAGTGAGTGCACGCTGTGTGAGTGAGTGCACGCTGTATGAGTGGGTGCACACTGTGTGAGTGAGTGCACGCTGTGTGAGTGAGTGCACGCTGTGTGAGTGGGTGCACGCTGTATGAGTGGGTGCACGCTGTGTGAGTGAGTGCACGCTGTGTGAGTGAGTGCACGCTGTGTGAGTGGGTGCACGCTGTATGAGTGAGTGCACGCTGTGTGAGTGAGTGCACGCTGTGTGAGTGAGTGCACGCTGTGTGAGTGAGTGCACGCTGTGTGAGTGCACGCTGTGTGAGTGAGTGCACGCTGTGTGAGTGGGTGCACGCTGTGTGAGTGAGTGCACGGAGTGTGAGTTAGTGCACGCTGTGTGAGTGAGTGCACGCTGTGTGAGTGAGTGCACGCTGTGTGAGTGAGTGCACGCTGTGTGAGTGCATGCTGTGTGAGTGGGTGCAAGCTGTGCGAGTGAGTGCACGCTGTGTGAGTGAGTGCACGCTGTGTGAGTGGGTGCACGCTGTATGAGTGCACGCTGTGTGAGTGAGTGCACGCTGAGTGAGTGCACGCTGTGTGAGTGAGCATGTGTGTGCATCACTCACTTCTCCCAGGGCTCCTGTTGGTTTCCCTTTCTTTGCTGGCGTCTGTGGGCAAACAACGCAGACCACCAGGTCCATCAATCCCCTGCACCTGAGATCCCGGTTCAATCCGAACCCAGTCTATGTAAATCTATCAGACTCTGTGCAAGTCTACGAGTCTCTACGAGAGTCGACTGCGACTGGGCAGAGACCCAATACATCCTACAACCAAGTGTAAACCTATCTATGGCTGGAGACGAAACCCGGATTGAAACACAGGGTCTCAGCGGTGTTGGCTCAGTGTCTCCAACACAGAAACTAAAACGAAACCAATTTTGTTATTTTGCCACGTAAGGCCCGCTCGGCTATACAGCTCTTTTTCATAAGCGACCTGGCCAATTAGCTTATCATCACGTGGAAAATCACAGCAGCAAAATACTCTGAGGTGCACGTTGATTCTAAACGTGGAGGGAAAAACCGCAGGACCCGGGGAAAATCCACGCGACCACAGGGAGAGAGACGCGCAAACTCCAAACATACAGGCGTCAGGGTCGGGATGGAACCCGTGACCTCCTGCGTTCCAGGCGAGGTAGTTAACATCTTCGCCACCGTGGCGCCCTTGTGAACCCCGCTGAGAGACCCAGCCGTGGAACTCGGAATATCAGGTCACACACCCACAGCTCCTCCTCCTCTCCCCCGTAGGTCGTGACCCCTCAAAGGTCACAACCTCCGGGAAGGTCACCTTGGCCTTGGCGGATGAGCCGTCCCCCTTTGGTCGCCGCTCAGCATTCTGGGAAGCTTTGTGCCGCCCGCTTCCTGTGAACTGCCCCAGGGGCTTGCAAAGCTCCACCTGCGAGACAACCAATGAGCAATCACCACCGATGTGCCCATCGCGTCCCCGTGAAAACGAGCGGCAAAGCAGGCAACAGCGAGACTCGAACCACATGCAAATTATATGTTAATGGGACGCTAATTAAATAGTGAGATGCAAAGTGAATGCTAATTTGGTGCGTGAATGCACGCGAGAGGGCAAATATCTATCCCATACAGATGAGACAGGAATTTGTTTCTTGCTGTACCTTTTTCTCACTCAACCATTTACCCCCTTACCATTCACACACCCGTTCACTCACCTTGAATCTCACTCACCCACTCATTTCTTCACTCATTCACTCACCCACCCACTCATTCACTCACCTTATATACCACTCACGCACTCGCCTACCCAGGGAGAGAGACACGCAAACTCCAAATATACAACAGATGTCAGGGTTTGGATCAAACCCACGACCTCCTGTGTACCGGGTGAGGTAGTTGACATCTCACCACCGTGGCGCCCTTAAGTTAGTCCGGCACTGCCGTGACGGCGGTGGGGGCAGTGGGGGGGGTCCTAGTGGGGGGGGGGGTGGGGGGGTGGTCTGGTGAAGGGGGGCCCTCACCGTGACTCGCGAGCTGCCCACGTAGGAGCCGTTGAGCGCCCCCAGGGCCTGCTGGGCGCTGTCCTCGCTGGAGAAGCCGAGGAACCCGAAGCGACGTGACCTCCCGGCGGCGTCCCTCCGGATCCGGCAATCCGTGACGGCGCCAAACTCGGTGCACAGATCGCGCAAGCGCGTGTCCGTCATCTGGGGGTCAGGAGGTCACCATGGTCCATGTTCTTGATGCAACCACGAACTATATATATATATCAACTATATACGTTTCTAAATAATGACAAAATTACGAAACCGCCGCCTCTTCCCATATCACCACCACAACAACCATTAGCACAGGGGTGGGAAAAAATTGTTTGACTCGCGGGCCACAATGGGTTCTAAAATTTGACAGATGGGGCCGGGCCAGGAACAGATGGACGGAGTGTTTGTGTGAACTAATAATAAATGACGTGTAAAAATCATTACATGAAAGGATTTGGCCTTTAACAGGTAGCAAAGCATTTATTTGCAAGGCAAAGTGCGCCATCTAATGGGGAAATGGCAGCATTGCAGGAGAAAGGTAAAATTCAATAATAATAATAATATTTGGACAAGTTCGACGGACCTGATTAAAAAGCCCAACGGGCCGTATACGGCCCGGGGGCCGTACTTTGCCCATGTCTGCATTAGCATTACCAACACCACAACGAAATACCACTACCATCACAAAAGACACGAGTAACATCACCATTGTCACTTCCAAATACCACCACCACCACTATCATCAGCATCACCATAAACCGCCACCAATATCATTACCAACATCACCACCACTCCATCACCACCATTAATTACCAGTTCCACCATCATCATCATCACCCCTCCATCACCACCAAAAAGAAAAAAAGATCGCCCATCTAGGCTTTAACAGACTGTTAGGGCAAGTGCTGCTAGCGAATACCTACGAAGGCCAAGTGGCATGGCCAGAACCACACCTGGACGCATTTATCTCCCCTGTGCTGGTATTTACACATCGTAGCAAGTACTCACGTAAGCATAAGTTGGGAAAACACAGGATCGATTCAGATATTAGCCACTGCTATTGGTCATGAGCGGGAATCGAACTCGGGTCGCCAGGTTTGTTGCGGGTGCACTAAACCACCGCGTGCCGCTCCCAATCACCACCACCACAACAACCATTTCGATCACCATCACAAACATCACTAGTACCATCACTAGTACCATCACGACTCCCACCACTATCATTACCGTCATCACCACCATCTTTACTAACCCTATCATAATCATCACATCACCAAGACATATATAACCACCCCCCCATCGTCATCTCTACCCCTACCAGCACCACATCAACATTATGAAGATCCCCCCCGTGTAGCCTTAACGGACTGTTGGGGCAAGTGCCGTTAGCGAGCAGCACCTATCAAGGCCGGCACGGCACACAAGGGGGTGGGTGGCCAGCACCACGCCCGGTCGCCTTTGTCTCCCCAGTGGCGATGTTTACTACACACCGCACCAAGTTACTCATTTGATGCTGAGTCGACCTAGGGGAGGCCCATGACCGGTTGAGATGTTCGTCGCTCGGTGTAACTCGGTCGCCGAGTTCGTAACGCTGCGCACTAACCGCAAACACGACCGCTCCCCACATTATGAACACCACCTCCATCCACCTTCATCAATAATCACGACCATCGGCACCACCATAATCACCGCCCCGCCTCGGCGTTCTCCTCCTCGCGGGAGCCCATTCACCAAACCCCGGCAGGGCTTTCTAGGCCAGACCGAGGCCTCCCGGAGAGGCCTACTCGCTCTCGTGCTCTCTCGGCCGCCGCCACGACCCCTCACCGAGTTGGGCAGGTTCTTGACGATGAGGCGAGACATGGCGTGCGAGGGGAGTTAAAAAAAAGCGAACTCCCCTCCCCCACGGGCTCTCGGCGAGTTGAACTCCGAGTTAGAGACTCCGCACCGGTCCCACGCCGCGTCTCCACGATGCACACACGGGGGAGCACGTGGTCACGGTCACGTGGTTGAGGAGAGGGGGGGGGGCGGAGGGGTGAAGCGGAGGGGGGAGTGGTGGAGGGAGCGGTGGGGCAGTGGTTAGCTCACTGCGCGCTGTTAAATAAAAGGTTTTTTTTATTTTACCAGCTAATGCCCACGAAGCTACGCAGCTCTTTCTCTCTCTCCCCTGGTGGTTGCTTGGATCTTTTTCTCGGTCTTCTGGCTTTTTCCCTCCACATGGAGAATCAACATGCATTTCCATAATTATTTGCCTGCAATAGATTTGCACGCGATGTTGAGGGACAGTCCATAAATGACGTCACGCACCTAGGGGGGGCGGGGGGGTCAGACATTTGTGACGATGTGTGACGAGGGGGGGGGATGTTTGAGAAATATGACGTCACATCAAAATGCGCAATTTTAAATAAATAAAGACAACACGTTCTACTTATATTCTTGGCTCTTTCGGTAAAGTCACGTAGAAGGGAAACAATAAAATAATAAAAATATAAAACAATAAAATTCTCACGACGTTTCGACTGCAACACAAGCAATCATAATCAGGTGTGAAAACCACAACAAGAAGATTTGAAAAAAGTGGCGGGTTATTTTTAACGTTAGCACCACGGAGAGCGATTTGGCAGTCATTCAGATGGACGAGTCCATCTATGTTCGGAAAAGAGGAGGGGGGAGACGAAAATAATGGATGCGGTCTGAAAGCCACCGTAAGCGTGATCAATCAATTACGACCCGAAATGGTTTATCATATCCTTCCAATGATTGCTAAGCCAGAATCCATCTTCTCGGTTGAAATTGTCTCTGTGTTTGTATATGTGGATAGCCTCATGAACGAATCTCTAATGGTAGCCAGATGGCTTGCAAAGAACTTCTGTCTTGGAGAAGTCAATGTCATGTGAACCTACTGAATTATTACAGTGATCTGCCACGGCTGAGGTGTTGGTCCTACCGTGTTTCAGGTCTGCTTTGTGTTCACGAATGCGGTCCGAGACATGTTCTACTTAAATTTTGATTTAAATCTTTCGTGACTGCAGTGATTAATATTCTTGGTTCTTTCGGTAAAGTCACGTTGAAGGGAAACAATAAAATAATAAAATATAAATAATAAAATATTTTATTGCTTCCCTTCAACGTGACTTTACCGAAAGAACCAAGAATATGTTCTACTTAGTTATATAGACTTTTTTATAAATGTTTTCTCCTACAACATCAGAGTGCAGCGCCACATTAAATACGCACTACAATGACAATAGTTTAAAGCGATTTGAAGCACGTTTTATATTTTGTGGGGGGGGAGGGGGCAGAGCTTTGTGACGTCAAAAATCGTCCAAAATTGCTTGACGTCATTTATGGACAGCCCCTAAGCCACTTCGCCGAGCTGTCATTCGTGACAGCCAGGTCGCTTCTGAAAATAAACAGCGACATCGCTCAGTGGGCCTTACCTGGTCAAATAAAGACAACATCCTCTTAGTTTAAAGCCCACTGAGATATATTCTTGGTTCTTTCGGTAAAGTCACGTTGAAGGGAAACAATAAAATAATACAAACATATATATAAAACAATAAAAATTCTCACGACGTTTCGACCGTAACACAAACGGTCATCATCAGGTGTGAAAACCAAATGTTTCTTGCCGTTGGTATTCACACCTGATGATGACTGCTTGTGTTGCAGTCGAAACGTCGTGAGAATTTTATTGTTTTATATGTATTTTTATTATTTTATTGTTTCTCTTATACGTGGTGACTTTACCGAAAGAACCAAGAATATGAATCACTGCAGTCACGAAAGCTTTAAATCAAAAAGCCCACTGAGATATTTAGCTTGTGTTTTCACAGCCGACACGGCCACAACTGATAGCTTAAACGAAGTGGTTTATCACCGCGTGCAACTCTCGACGTCACGCGACCACGGGGAGAGAGACACGCAAACTACAAATACTGCTGCAGCAGCAGCAGGCACCGTCGGGGTCGGATTGAACCCATGACCTCCTGCAGGCCGGGCGAGGGAGTTAACATCTCCCAGCTACCGTGGCACACCCGACGCTAGGGATCACCCGCGTTGGAATTCCCGGCCACTGCTAACGTCAGTGGCGAGTGATATCCTCGACCGGTCATGGGCAGCTCATTCAATCGCCTTCGGCAACCCACCGCCGACCAGCGTGGTGAAGTATGGTCGAACGGGATGAGGAATCTTTTTATTTAGACTGGAGGAATCCGATGAGCTATGAAGCTCCTTTTCACAGATGTCCAGTATTGGCGCGTCGGCAGGTTACAGGGGGCAGACAACTCATCCAACGGCGGAGTGATCAAGGCCGATGACGAGTTCGTCTCCTGTGGGATTTATATCCAACTTTTACACCCGTTCAAAATAACATCACCTTGATCTCAATCATCAGAAACACCATCGTCGCCATTGTTACCATTATCATCATTAACTGAGACGAAGATTCCCCCATATAGCCCTAAAAGATTGTAGGGGCAAGTGCTGTTAGTGAGCACCTAAGAAGGCCGGCATGGTACACGAGGGGGTGGGTGGCCAGCACCACACCCGGACGCCTTTGTCTGCCTCGTGGCGATGTCTACACACCGTACCAGGTACTCATTTGAGGCTGAGTCGACCTAGGGGAGTCGAACGCAATGATCACTATCATCACCATTATGATCACCCTCACCACAATCACTATCCTCACCATCACCATTATAACCACCAAAACCATCACCACCATCATCACTATCATCACCATTATGATCAACCTTACCACCATCATCACCCTCCCCATTTCCATTATGGCCACACTTTCCACCATTAGCACCCTCCCCATCACCACCGTCATCACTATCTACACCACCGTCACGATTATGGCCACCCTTACCACCATCATCACCCTCCCCATCACCATTATGGCCACCATTACCACCATCATCACCCTCACCATCACCGCCACCATCACTATCTTCACCACCATCACCATCATGGCCACTCTTACCACCATCATCACCCTCCCCATCACCACCGTCATCACTATCTACACCATCACCGCCACCGTCACAATTGTGACCATACTCTTTGGTTCTATTCGGTAAAGTCACGTATTTACCTACGTGACTTTACCGAATAGAACCAAAGAGTATGGATCCTTGCAGTCACGAAAGCTTCAAATCTAGAATTGTGTCCATCCTCACCATCACCACCACAACCCCCCCCCTACCCACCCACATAATTCACACACGCGTGGGAAAACTGCTCTTTGCGCACCAACTTTATTGGAGTCAAGGTTACGATTCTGCTCAAACACTTCTTTCGTCTTTTGCCAGAGAGAAAAAATATATATATAAATCAAATAATACAAATGACGAGTCGAGGTATAAAATACATCATCTCAAGCTAACACCGTCCCCTCCTCGAACAAGGCACAGTGGTGATGAGGTGGAGAAGGGGAGGGAGAGTGGAGGAGAGGCGAGAGGAGGTTGAGGGAGGAGGTAGAGGTGGAGGAGGAGGAGGTAGAGAAGGAGGAGGGAAGACAATTTGAGGTCAAGGGGTCATCAAGGTGCGGGTCGCAGCCATGCCTCCCCCAGGGTCCCCCTCCCGTCGTGATCTCAAGCGCGTGTGTGTGTCTTCAACTGTGGATGTGCACAGGTTTGTGAAACAGCACTTTCCACAAAGGTCTGTCGAGGCTATAAGGGGGAGCTTTGCATTTGTACACAAGTGTGTTTACAGAGTGCGCATGTGTGCACATGTGTGTGTACATCCACAAATGTGTGTGTGTGTGTGACCTCGTACACGAGTATACGTGAGGACACTTAGAGGTACAGTCCAACGCCTGGCAGTCACGTGTGCCCGCTTAACCAACAACAGTCGCGCCAACAACGCCACAACCGAAATAAAGTTACCAACGTCCCGGTAATAGCCGGAACGGCCCCGGTTTAGCCGGAACAAAAACATAAATTGTAAAAAATATGAAATAAAACATTCCGGAATTTGTTCCCGGTTTCAAATGTCCTGACCTCGTACTCGACAGAGGGGCGTGGTCACGGGAGTAGTGGGCGGGGTTGTGAAAGTGGGCGGGGGGGGCTAGTGAATGAGTGGTCTGGGATGGTGAATGAGTGGGCGGGGCTAGTGAATGAGTGGGCGGTGCTAGTGAATGAGCGGGTGGGGCTAGTGAATGAGTGGTCTGGGATGGTGAAAGAGTGGGCCGTGCTAGTGAATGAGCGGGTGGGGCTAGTGAATGAACGGGTGGGGGCGGTGAATGAGTGGGCGGGGCTAGTGAATGAGCGGATGGGGCTAGTGAATGAGCGGGCGTGGCTAGCGAATGAGCGGGCGGGGCTAGTGAATGAATGGGAGGGATGGTGAATGAGTGGGCGGGGCTAGTGAATGAGCGGGTGGGGCTAGTGAATGAATGGGAGGGATGGTGAATGAGTGGGCGGGGCTAGTGAATGAGCGGGTGGGGCTAGTGAATGAGCGGGCGGGGCTAGTGAATGAGCGGGCGTGGCTAGCGAATGAGCGGGTGGGGCTAGTGAATGAATGGGAGGGATGGTGAATGAGTGGGCCGGGCTAGTGAATGAATGGGCGGGATGGTGAATGATTTGGCGGGGCTAGTGAATGAGCGGGTGGGGCTAGTGAATGAATGGGCGAGGGTGGTGAATGAGTGGGCGGGGCTAGTTAATGAGCGGGTGGGGCTAGTGAATGAATGGGAGGGATGGTGAATGAGTGGGCGGGGCTGGTAAATGAGTGGGCGGGGCTAGTGAATGAGCGGGTGGGGCTAGTGAATGAATGGGCGAGGGTGGTGAATGAGTGGGCGTGGCTAGTGAATGAATGGGCGGGGATGGTGAATGAGTGAGCGAGGCTAGTGAATGAGTGGGAGGGGCTAGTGAATGATTGGGCGGGTAAGTGAATGAGTAGGCGGGGATGGTGAATGATTGGGCGGGTTGGTGAATGAGTAGGAGGGGCTAGTGAATGAGTGGGCGGGGCTAGTGAAATGAGTGGGCGGGGCTAGTGAATGAGTGGGCGGGGCTAGTGAATGAGTGGGCGGGGCTAGTGACTGAATGGG